ATCTTTGGCAGTCCTAAATATTCCTTTTAGGTCCGGCCCTCAATCCAACGGTTTGATGGCCGGATAATATGTATTATCCGGCTGAGTAATATCTTAAGCTCCGCTATTTAGATGTATGTTGAAGGAAATTAAGAGAATTAAGGCTACCATTTGAAAAGCTAGGAATATATTCATAAAAAAGAAATAGGAATACATTGGTTAATTACTCATTATCCAGAAAGGTGCAAAAAATGACAGTTTCAACATATAGGAACTAATAAGTAGAAAAAGCACCAAAAACTTATTAAAGTTACAAATACTCACCCATACAGTTCTGGCCTGGAAAAGCATCCTCTTCAATACAATCAAAAATAATCCGTGGGCCATCTTGCATAATAAAAAAGTAAAGTTATTTACTCTCGCAAGAGTACGACTCTTGACAGGCGGACGAGATGTGTCTTACTGACAACACCACAACACTTGTTAATCATGTAAACTTGAACAAAGTTGTACTTACCACCTCCTCCTCGTCCATGATGGGTCAGGCACTTGGCGTGAAGGGTTTATCCTCCCGATGACTGAAGAACTTACCTTGATTGTTTATCCTCCCGATGACTGAAGAACTTAAATTGGTTGCTGGGTACGATGGTGCCGGTCCTCTCTAACTTCTCGCCACTGTGACTTGTGATTATATAAAGCCTGGAAGGCTTCTCTGTGTAGCCTTCCAGGCTGCTTCAGAAGGTACACCTCACTATATCACTGTGCACCTCACTATATCACTGTGCACCTCACTATATCACTGTGCACCTCACCATATCACTGTGCACCTCACTATATCACAGTGCACCTCACTATATCACTGTACTTCACTAGATCACTGTGCACCTCACTAGATCACTGTGCGCCTCACTATATCACTGTACTTCACTATATCATTGTACTTCACTAGATCACTGTGCACCTCACTAGATCACTGTGCACCTCAGTATATCACTATGCACCTCACTATATCACTGTGCACTTCACTAGATCACTGTGCACCTCACTAGATCACTGTGCACCTCACTAGATCACTGTGCATTTCACTAGATCGCTGTGCACCTCACTAGTTCGCTGTGCACCTCACTAGATCGCTGTGCACATCACTAGATCAATGTGCACCTCACTAGATCAATGTGCACCTCACTATATCACTGTGCACCTCACTAGATCGCTGTGCACATCACTAGATCAATGTGCACCTCACTAGATCAATGTGCACCTCACTATATCACTGCATCTCACTATATCACTGCACCTCACTATATCACTGCGCCTCACTAGATCGCTGTACTTCACTAGATGACTGTGCACCTCATTATATCACTGTGCACCTCACTAGATCACTGTGCACTTCACTAGATCACTGTACACCTCATTATATCACTGTGCACCTTACTAGATCACTGTACTCTTCACTATATCACTGTGCAACTCACTAGATCACTGTACACCTCATTATATCACTTTGCACCTCACTATATCACTGTACACCTCACTATATCTCTGTGCACCTCACTATATATCTGTGCACCTCACTATATCTATGTGCACCTCACTATATCTATGTGCACCTCACTATATCACTGTGCACCTCACTATATCACTGCACTTCACTATATCACTGTGCACTTCACTATATCACTGCACTTCACTATATCACTGTGCACTTCACTATATCACTGTGCACTTCACTATATCACTGTGCTCCTCACCATATCAATGTTCATCTCACCATATCACTGTGCACCTCACCATATCACTGTGCACCTCACTATATCACTGCACTTCACTATATCACTGTGCACCTCACTATATCACTGCACTTCACTGTATCACTGTGCACTTCACTATATCACTGTGCACCTCACCATATCACTGTGCACCTCACTATATCACTGTGCGCTTCACTATATCACTGTGCACTTCACTATATCACTGTGCACCTCACCATATCACTGTGCATCTCACTATATCACTTAAATTATAACGGCACTTATTTCCAGCTCACCAAACTCTGGTTTCCTTTCTAGGCGCATAAAAATCCAACTCATCACAATAATTCTTGTGTATTTCCATATAACACGTTCATTATCACCCTAAGAATCCGCACCATACTTTACGAATACAAGTGTAGGATAGTGCATGAATCACTATACACTTTCAAATTCGCTTCCATTTGTCTATACCACCACACAACTTCACTATCAACATATCACTAAATGAATTCATCACTATTCGACACCATCACCATCACTATCCCCACGAGGTCACACTACAAGTTTTACTGTATTTTGTATGTTACACAATTAGCAGTGTCGTCCCAACACGACGACGACGACTACACGCCGCCTCACCACGACAGTGTCACGAGAGACATTGGCGGGAAGTCATGTTTTGGCGGTATTTTGGGTCCCTTTGTCAAACGAGCAACAAACGAGGTTGTTTCATAGTTTGGTGACGCCTGTTAGGAGGAGGTGTTATATAAAAATAACACTTTAGGAAAGTGTTGTTTCTGAAGGGTTGAAATAACCTTTATTACTGTTAAGATCTTTATTGACAAAATTAATTACAATTTTGCCTAATCTGAGGATTTCGATTAAGTCTTATTAAAGTGAGGATAATGCTGGTATTCACTGTCACGCAGGACAGAGGGTCATACATAAGACAATAGGTCTAAACTGTAGGCGGAAGTACATATTAGTACGTAGTACGGAAGTACATATACATGGTTACAATCAATGTTTTAATATATGGATATGTGAAAACAACTTTCTATTGTGCACTGCCACACAAGGGCAGGGATGGGTTCATAACTGATGCAGCTTAGTAGTAATATAAATAAAAATTGTTCTTCATTCTTTAAAATGGACAAGCAAATTTTGGATAAATTGTTAGGATGTCATCCAGAACACCTGAGTCAATAAAATATTTACACAGTTGGTGGTACAAGAGGCCAGGAGGTCTAAAGACCTTTACGTTTACGGTTTCACATTCAACAATATAGTGTTGTAGTGAATGCATTAAAGGTTTATCACAGAGTTTACAAACTGAGTATTCTGGTAGTGGCTCAGCCTCACTAACCTGCCAGATGTGTCTATAGCCAAGGCGAATTCGCGCAATGACTACATCACATTGCCTGGTCCGGTTACTGTGCTGACCATACAAAATACATATCATTACAAAACTTGTCATAACTTTTAATACTGCAGCTTCCAGGTCTCTGGGCATTTCTTAGTTCTAAATCTGAATTAATTTCTTTAATTTGTATGTTTCTAATAATTGCATTAGATAGTCCAAAGTCATAATCAATGTTTTCTTTCCTGCAAGCCTCATTGGCCAATCGATCTACATAGTCATGTTTTCCAACTCCAACATGGGATGGGATCCACACAAGAGTTATTATCATTGGCAAAAATTACATTCCGTTTAATATTACACGCTACTTCCGACATAAATTGTGATGGGTTATTTAAGGACTGCAGAGCACTTTTAGAGTCACAGAAAATAACTCCACCACCATTGAGTTTAAGGTATTCAGTGGCTAGATAAATGCCCAATATTGAAATAACCTAAGCTATTTTATTCTTTTGTGATATATCTTATTTGTCTCAATAAACTTGGACGCTTGTTAGTTAAGTGCTGAGGTGCCTTGCTTTTGTTCCCTCAGTTACGTTGTAAAAATCAATTAGGAAGGTGATGACGCCAAATCGTCAACATCCTTTGGCGTTACTCGTCAACTATTCTCGTATTATTTCGCTATAAATTAGGCAAATCTCCGAGAAAGTTTGTCTATTGTCTTTGGACTGTTCGGTAAAGTGATAGCCTCGCTTCTTGCAGGGTCGGCGTTCCATTCCCGATGATCCAAGCGGTTGGACAGCGTTCCATCGTTCAGTTCTCTTATCCTGCCCTCGTATATTGATTGATTGATGAAGATTAAGCTACCCAAGAGTTGGCACGGGGATGAATAGCCCGTAATCCTTCCCATATACCTTCCAAGTGCCATATATAGCCTTGCTGGCTAGGCGCTTTACCCTGATAATTGCCTATCTCAGCAAACAAAAAAGAAAATCAGCTTTAACAAGAGACAATAAAGGATGCCTATAGGCCTAGTTTGATTTCTTACGTGACGCTTAAATTGCCTCATCCGTTTCATCATGGCAGTAACAACTTAGTATAACAACATTTGATAAAACAAAAGCTTGGAGCGCGTCTATGCAAGGGGTTGGGGTGTTTACCTAAGCATTTCCATACAATTTTCATCATATATAATGACTGCGCATGGGGCTTTGTGGCTATTTCATTTATTCGCGGATAATAAATGATATTCATAGTTTATTTGAAGTTTGCTAGTGCAGTTAGTTGAGGTAATTTATTATGCATCCCATCCCCCTCCTATGAGCTGTGCACCTACACCGCTCATACTGTAGCGGATGAGCTTACCTCCACTGTCTTAGTGGAGGCAAGGTATGAGAAAAAGCACTGTTGTTGTTTTAGATTGAGCTACTGGGAACAAAGAGTTGCAAGTAGCACGGGCTATGGTGAACCCGTAGTGGACTTACCTGGCACAGGAGCGGGGATGTAACTGTTGGAGAAAACACTAACCAGTATGAATATATAGCGTCTTATTGGAGGATTAGTTGTTAAATTAGGTATACACCTTTTTAACTTTTGACCTAACTGTAACCCTTTGATTATGTTAGGTAAACTATGCATTCTTGGCCTGTGCTAATAAACTGATATACTAAAAACGTATATGTAAGTAACTCATTTACTGAAAAATATACTGGCCTATTAAAATAATTTAAAACTGCCAATCTTTTGAGTATTTCTCTTAAGTATGTGTCTGGATCAGACTCGACTGTGGCAGTTTTAAAAGTTTAATATATAATGGTCCATTACTCCCATCTTCACCAACACATAAACACGCTCACATGCAAGCAAACTGCTGCATTAATCTAAAGTAAATGTGTTCTTTACAGTTTTGGGAAATCATTAGTGATGAGCACGGCATCGACCCTACAGGCACGTACCGGGGCGACCACGACCTGCAGCTCGAACGCATCAACGTTTACTACAATGAAGCCACGGGTGGCAAGTAAGTCTTCCTGTGTGTACTCAACTCGTCCTCATTAACAAATGCTGGTTAATCCAGCCACCAAATCTCTGTTTATGAATAAAACGCACTTTACACACGACTCCTAACTGATGTGCAACCCATCCTCGACTTAAGTCCATTACATCCAGCGGTCGACCCCACAGACGCATTCATAAATATTTACATGCTGTTCATTCAAAACGGGAATTTTCTAAAATATAAATTAATATTATAATATATTAGCATATTGTGCATATATGGGCATAACTTAGGTTAGGTTAGGTGTTTAGGTTCTGTTGGCGATTATTTGTATTTGCAGTACGTGGGTGAAGCATTTATAGTGTTGTGGTTTGAACAAAATTCGTCAGTGAAGCACTTGTTCCGGAAGTGTTCGAACGAAATCAGTTGTGAGTCGTATGTAAACCATTTTTCATTCATAAACAGGGGGTTTGGCGGGTGCATGGAATCACTTTTGGGTCTTTGTTTGGAGGACGGGCTGCTGATGTGTTTTTTTTTCCTCGAGCAGTGCTTCGTTCACGTCTTCTGCTCAAATCCCATCTCTCTGAATGCTTCATTCTCGCACTGCAAATACCACTAACAGAACCTAACCAAGGTTAGACCTAACTATTCAACACCTGCTATTATGTACGTAGTGTACCTGGTCAGAGACCGGGCCGCGGGCACCTTGAACCCCTTAACCTTTGGTTACGGGGTTCTTAACCTTAACCCCTTTGGCCGCAAGGTAAGGTTCCAGGGCTCAATAATATTACTTTATATTTGAGAAAATACAAATTTAGAATACGAAGTCCGTTAAAATTGATGAAGGCTTCTTTGGGTTTGGCCGTCGCCTGGACGAGCCTAGCCTGAGGCAGTAGCCTAGCAAGTTTTGAGTAGCACACAAGTTCTCGGTTAAAGAACTTTTAACTTGTATTTGTTCAGCATTACTGTGCCTTATTTTATCAAACGTAAGTAAATCCGTTTTGAAATATTATATATTGTTTATAAAGTAAAACTATTTTACTAATACATATTTTTTATCACACCAGATATGTTCCTCGGGCTATCCTCGTGGACTTGGAACCCGGCACAATGGATTCTGTCCGATCCGGACCCTTTGGACAACTCTTCCGACCAGACAACTTTGTATTTGGTGAGCTCTTTGATTTTCATGCGAAATATAATGAAAATATTTAGTGTAGGTGATTCTGGTGGATGGAGTGAGGTTGGTGTGGCTGGTCAGACAATAAGGGTAGTGGATATGTGGTTGGATATGTGTGTGTGTGTGTAGTTGGTGGTGGCTAAAATTTAACAGGTGTGTGGGTCATATGGCTGGTAGTGGTTTTGTTTTGATTGGGAGTGAGTGATGGCAATTCTACATATAGGACATGAGTGCTACACGAGCGTCCCGTCTTCCCAGTACTCTTTGTCATATAACGCTTTGAAACTACTAACGGTTTTGGCCTCCACCCCCTTTCTCACTTAGCTTGTTCCAACCGTCTGCCATTGTTTGCAAAAGAAAATTTTATAATATTTTTTCAGCACCTCTGTTTTCTTAGCTTGACTGTTTCCTCTTGTTCGTGAAAAGAACAAGAGGAATTTACAAGATTCCTCTGCAAATTCCTGTCTGTTTGTCTATCTGTCTACTCACCTAGTTGTGCTTGCATTGAGCTCTGGCCCTTTGGTCCTGCCTCTTAACCGTCAATCTACTGGTGTACAGATTCCTGAGCTTCTTGAGCTCCATCATATCTACATTTGAAACTGTGTATGGAATCAGCCTCCACCACATCACTTCCTAGTGCATTCCATTTACTAACTATTCTGACACTGAAAAACTTCTTTCTAATGTCTCTATAGCTCATTTGGGTACTCAGCTTCCACCTGTGTCCCCTTGTTCGTGTATCACCCGTGTTACATAATCCCTCCTTGTCTACCCTATCAATTTCCCCTGAGTGTGTGTGTGGGGGGGGGGTGAATATATAAATGACAATGCAAGTGTAGATTGATGTATAAGTGATGTGAATGTAGGCAAGGGTGTGAGTTTGTATGTGCGTGTAGGTGGGGATGTGTTGGTAGGGGTATGGATGGAGATGTGGGTGTGAATGGAGACGCGGGTGTAGATAGAAATGGTAGACACGGGTCTGGGAGATAGTTGCTCGAGGTTGTGAGTACATAGAAATATGAGTGAGTGAGAGAGAGAGGGGGGGGGCAAGAGGGCATTAAAAGTGGGGGGGATGGAGGCACAGTGAACCGGGTAGGTGAGTAGGTGAGGGGCAGAGATGAGTTCAAACTAGGGGATAAGGATGTAGCATTAAGGACTGTATTGGGGGGGCAGGGGTAAGTGGGGTTGATGAGTGAGGGGTGTTGATGTGATGGTGTGTTTTAGTTTTCTCATTGCTGATCAACACTGTTCTTGACCTTTACCAATTTAAAAAAGGATCTCTCACAAGCAAAATAAAGCTACAACAAAATATAGTTGCCATTGGTTTACAATGTTTGATAACAAAAGCTCAGTTTTATTATCCCGTGTAAATGGTATAGGTTACAAGTCAATACCATGAGTCATTCTCGAGATACTGAATGGTAATCTGTCTGAAGAAGATAAAAAATTAAGAAAATTTTCATCAATATACAGTACATGGCAAAACCATAACGCATTATTACCAATGCCATACACCTGTAGCATTGTAGTCCACGTCCTCGGCTCACAGCTGAGGGTCTGGTTCAATACCTAGATGGTGCAGAAATTATTGGGTACGTTTTCTTTCACCTGATGCCTCTCTTCACCTTTAATAGGTTCCGGGAGTAAGGCAATCAATGTGGGCTGCATCCTGGGAAAGGTTAGGTGTTGACATAGGAAAACCTCGATCAGGCTTCCTGATGCTAGCAATGGGAAGTCAGGGAATTAATTATTAAAGCTAACTCAGGACCTATATGACATCCTATATGGAAGATCCTCGCAATGCAATGGGAAGGGATCCTCAATGATCCTCAATGGGATCCTCGCTAGCAATGGGAAGTCAGGGAATTAATTATTAAAGCTAACTCAGGACCTATATGACATCCTATATGGAAGATCCTCAATAACATAAATTAATACATGAATTTGTGTTTGCAGGTCAGAGTGGTGCCGGTAACAACTGGGCCAAGGGACACTACACAGAAGGTGCTGAACTGGTTGACTCAGTCCTTGATGTAGTACGGAAAGAGTCTGAAGGCTGTGACTGTCTACAGGGCTTCCAGCTTACACATTCTCTTGGTGGTGGCACTGGTTCAGGAATGGGCACCCTTCTTATCTCAAAAATTCGTGAAGAATACCCTGATCGTATTATGAACACATTCTCTGTTGTGCCTAGTCCAAAAGTAAGTTGTTTGAGAATCTTAATTATGATTTATAAATATTAGCTGCCAGTATTTTCCCACAAAACTCCAAAAAACATAGTTTATATAAATGTTTGCAGTCATCATTACCTCGTTTCTCACTTTCATGGAGTGGGCAGGCATCAATGCATGTTATCTTGAGGTTATCTTGAGATGATTTCGGGGCTTTTTAGTGTCCCCGCGGCCCGGTTCGCGACCAGGCCTCCACCCCCAGGAAGCAGCCCGTGACAGCTGACTAACTCCCAGGTACCTATTTTACTGCTAGGTAACAGGGGCATAGGGTGAAAGAAACTCTGCCCATTGTTTCTCGCCGGCGCCTGGGATCGAACCCAGGACCACAGGATCACAAGTCCCGCGTGCTGTCCGCTCGGCCGACCGGCTCCCATGTAGCATATAACCATCCATAGCAGTTCTTCATCACTTCTTACAAGATGATACAACTAGGTGTAAACTCTTTCCTGTGAATTGTCATTTATAATACTTACTGAAATGCCAAAGATTCAATATGCTTCAACAAATTTATTTCACCTAACCTAATTCTCCATTAATTTTCGTGCACTGGTCACAATCAATTCCCTCTTCCTCACACTCACAACTATCTAACTTCTTAGTCTTTTTCTCCTCCTACCCCCCCCCCCCCACTTAAATACTACTTAAATACTCTCTTTGCCACTCTAATATCACATTTATTCAATATGGCCAAACCAACTCGATACACTTTTCTCAATCCTACAATTACCTGATATTTTCACAACACACTACAAGATACATGTTGCACAGTACTTTATTTGTAATATTATAATTTCTTCCTTCAGGTATCTGACACTGTGGTTGAGCCTTACAATGCTACCTTATCAGTTCATCAGCTTGTAGAAAACACAGATGAAACCTACTGTATTGATAATGAAGCCCTTTATGATATTTGCTTTAGGACTCTGAAACTGTCCACTCCAACCTACGGTGACCTTAATCATCTGGTATCCCTAACTATGTCTGGTGTTACTACTTGTCTACGATTCCCTGGCCAGCTGAATGCAGATCTCCGAAAGTTAGCAGTGAACATGGTTCCCTTCCCTCGACTCCACTTCTTCATGCCTGGATTTGCCCCACTCACCTCCCGTGGCTCCCAGATGTATCGTGCTCTTACTGTACCTGAGCTGACCCAGCAGATGTTTGATGCCAAGAACATGATGGCTGCCTGTGACCCCCGCCATGGTCGTTACCTCACGGTTGCTGCTGTGTTCCGTGGTCGTATGTCCATGAAGGAAGTGGACGAACAGATGCTTAATATTCAAAATAAGAATTCTTCATACTTCGTTGAATGGATTCCTAACAATGTGAAGACTGCTGTTTGTGACATCCCTCCAAGAGGAATCAAAATGGCCTCCACTTTCATTGGCAACTCTACTGCCATTCAAGAACTCTTCCGTCGCATCTCTGAACAGTTCACAGCTATGTTCAGGCGAAAGGCTTTCCTTCACTGGTACACTGGCGAGGGCATGGACGAGATGGAGTTCACAGAGGCAGAATCAAATATGAATGATCTTGTTTCTGAGTATCAACAGTATCAAGATGCTACAGCTGAAGAGGAATATGAAGATGAAGAAGAGCATGCTGAGGAAGCCTAAATCTCTGAGGTTAACAGTATGAGGCTTTAACCTTAATGTTGCCATGCTCGTAATTAGGATTATGTTGATACTATCTATGTAGTTTCAGCTTGCCTAAGATATCAACAAAAACACAAATGATCTCATAAGCCATGGAGACATGTCTTTACATGCCTCTAGGTTGCTACTTCTCGCTTTTTTCATAATCTTTTATCTCATGGTTTATGCCATTGTGTTTCAGACTACAGTATTTAAGTTTCACAGTGAATGAAAAGAATTTACTGTGAATGTTAGTAATGTAATGTATCTGAATTAGTGTATACTTTGAGAGGAGCTAAGTGGAAGATCATTCCATGACACAACGTGCTAATACACTGCCAATTGACAAGTGACTAATGGTGTCTTTCACTTGCTTCACTCACAGACTAACTTGGTTAAGAACAAAGTCATTTCATATACTCCTCTATACTGTGCCATTATCTTGGTTTGGCTGTGTCCCTTTCGAGTCTTTGTTCTAAACCCAGTCGCAAAGAAATGTTAAGCAAAGTGTAAGGATCTTGACTAGTATGGGGTTTACACTTCCATCAGTTTATTAAATGTGGGTCATTGTCAGTTTCAAGAGTGGTGTCTTGATACTGGTGATTAACCTTGCTACCTCTACATGCCATCATTAAAGTAAAGCTTGAAGTATTTTTCTGGTTTTATCAAGCACTGTTAAACTTCAATAGCAACATATAGAGGTAAGCATCACCTTAATACTGAGAGTAAAAAGCCTCTTGTAAGATACACATCGCTATTGGTTGATGTTCTATGTAGCCCAAACATTTTATTCTTTACTGGTTGAATTTTAATTGTACAGTATATTATTTTATAGCACCAAAGTAATTGATTTCTGCACTCATTACCCCTACTAGCCATCTTCCAGTCAGGATTACATGCCAGTAATTGTTTCTCGTCTCCCAAATCATTTACATTGATTTATATTGTACTGTCATTTTATTTCATAGCATAAGTAGAAAGATATTAATTTTTTATTTCACCACTGCAGTTTTGTCTTTAATAAAGATATTTGTACGGTGTTCTGTCTTTTTATTCCAGACATTGATTGCAATCTACACTGCATCAGCCATGTAAAAAACTGAACTGTATCATAGTCCATGAATACACTGAATAGTAATGTTTATAATTCTATATAATTTGTTCACATTAATATTTAGCTAAAGGTTGCCTCAATATCAGAGTAAAAAAAAATTGCGAGAAAATGTGTGCGCATATGATCGACAGTACTCAGTCGGCCGGGTTAAGCCCAATTGACTTTAAAAAGCTAGTGAATGAGTGAAGTTTGTTCTGTCACCACTGTAATATTATGAGTACACTTATCAGAACCTTCATCCAGCAACAGATTGGGACTCCTAATTGAGGGAATTTTACCATCTCACAATGCACAATCTAGTAAAATCAATACATGATTTTGCTAAAAATACATCGACTTCTCTAAAGCTTTTGATAAGGTAGCATTCAAAAGACAGAAAATTATAAGTACAGAACAGTACAATATATATGGAATAAATTAGAAAACAAAGCCATGTAGTTGGGACGCCACAGGTTCCATCCCGATGCATGCAGAAATCTACCTCGGGGCGACTGAACCCCCTTGCAAAGCCAATGGAAAGCCACATCATTGATGATCCACTTATTGGAAGTGGGATAGTAGTGAGATAAACCATCTGCGAGAACACTGGACACACCCTGCAGATGAGTGCAGGAAACAATAAAGAGAAGATGGGGGACTGACCCAGATGGTCGTGGCAGTGGCAAAGCGGGTGGACCAGTACACCTGCCTCATGGGAGATCACTCCTTTCCAAATTAGTCTCCCCTTTCCCCACCCAAGAAGTTGATTAAAGAACAAGCCTTGCTTCGACAAGAAACAAAGTACAATGCCTTAAACCAAATTGATGCTTTAGTCAGAGAGCGCTTCCTTTACCAGATTATTTACTCTGATGGATCCTTGCACCGGTCTGATGGTGTAGCTGGAAGTGCAGCTGTTGTGACAGGGAGAGATGGTTCCTTCTCCCATGAGTGTGGAGCGCGTCTAAGTAACTGGGCCTCTACTCTTCAAACAAAATTGGTTGCCATAATCCTTGCCCTCGAGCGCGTATATGAATCCAAAGTTGACACGCTAATTGTAAGTGACTCCTTGTCATCCTTGACTGCCCTCAGCTCCCCAAAGGCATAACTGTGACGTGATTATCTCTGAAGCTAGACACAGATATAATTAAATAATCAATTATGGAGTCAGAGTCTATCTCTTGTGGATTCTTTCCCATATTGGTCTCCAAATGCATGATAGAACTGATGAGTTGGCCAAGACTTTTGCTCGTAAAGAGGGAATTGATTACCAACTTGGACTGCTTTTGAGCAGCCTGAGGGCAGTAATATTCCAGGAACATCAACTAAATTTCGGAGACTTGAGGCAAAGTGAAATTCACACCAGTTCCTCCATCTATCAGCATTCTATTGTGCAGGAAGTACCGCACGTCTATGGGTCATCCAATAAGGTTAGCAGACTTCTAGATGTTAGGCTCGGCTACAAGTACCTCTGGGAGTTTGTAACATCTGCTGATGTAGATTTGACTAAATGTAAACTCTGTCAGCAGAACTATTCGCATACTTTGTATCATTATATACTGGAATGTGAAAAAATCGCGGAATTCAGAGATAATACCATCAATGGTGTCCAAGAAATGTGTAAGTACTTCATTCATAATGATGTGCTGCCCGAAATCTTAGCGAAGTATCCAAAATTTGCATACTGTAGGTAATGCATGCACATGACTGTAAAGCTGCCGCCCAGTTGGGTGGGTGTGCAACAAGACTAGTAATTGTGTGACTCACCATAGATGTAAAGTGCCTTGTATAATGACTGTTGTGAGCCTCTTGTTGAATCATTGTGACACAAAAGATTACTGATGTGTGTATGTGTGGGTGATTGAATATGTATGTGTAAGTATGTGTGTGTGTGTGTGTGTGTGTGTGTGTGTGTGTGTGTATATATATATATATATATATATATATATATATATATATATATATATATATATATATATATATATATATATATATATATATATATATATATATATATATATATATATATATATAAATATATATAATAAGGGAGGGAGTACCACCTCTGGCTGGAAGAAAGGGGACCCTTAGCCTCGGAGCTAAGACACCACACATAACGCATTAGAGGGAATGTTTAGATCCCTTCCAATACTGTTTCTGTGTGCTTTTCTCCTACCACCCCCTTCCTTTTTATTTTTTTTGCTTTATTGTGTATTTAAAGGTTACATGATATACATTGGTTGATACAAAGTGCTTAAAGGTTATGGATCTCTTGAAGCTCCTCCGCTTCCGGACAGGAACCGAGAATGCAGCAGGCATTTCCCCTCTGGATTGCCACACTGAGGCGCTGAACAAAAAACTGGCAGCTCTTGGGTCTCTGGTGACGTCAATGAGCTTGGAGCCCAATTCCTTGAGAAATCCCAAGGCACTCTATCCCCAGGGGACGCATTGACGCTATGGGAACAAAGGTGTATCGACCTTCCAATCGCCTGTATTTGGCTGATTTTGCTATTTCCCTGTGGTTGGCCACCCCACCTGCTTGATTAGCTCCGAGGTGTACATAGGTGTCAGCCAGGGTCGATACACATGTGTAGTCCCACACCAACTGTCTACCCTCCTTCCAGGAGGTAGGGTAAAGGCAGTTCAAGAAATGATGGATCAAGTTAAACGTAGATGCAATGAAGGAATAATCAATAGACAAAACCAAGAAGAAGAAAGAAAAAGCAATAGGAAGTAGAAGTAGTACAAGGGCATACAGCAGATCCTTACGACAAGGATCATAACAAACATAACATGATCCTCAAGAACATAACGAAACTTGAAAAGGTATAGATCCTTGCAACAAGGCTCATCCCAGAAATATGTAAGATGGAATTTGAAGACTGGCTGGAAGAGCTGAATGTAACATTGCTAGAAAAGGACATAATAGAGATACAAAATAATTAGGAGAATTGATAGGGTAGGAAAAGAGGAATAAGAGACACCCAACCCACAAATCTGAAAATAAAGACCTAATGTTTATGTTTTTTATTTTCAGATTTGTGGGTTGGAAGTATAATTTTCAGTCACATTATTGCAACTTATTGTATGTGCAAAGAGGAAAAGCTCACAATGACCACCAATAGAACAGGTGGGCCTGGATGGAGGCTACAGAAGTAGTTGAGCCTAGAGATATGTTAAAATAGTCTTTTATAGCATAAGAATATTAATAAAATAGAATGAACTGAATGAGCAGGTTGTACAGTATAAGCCAACTCCATTTATATATAAAAAATAAAATGATAGATAAATAGGTCAGACAACTGGAAAGGCAAGGCCCAAGAGCTACAGTTAGATCTTGCAGGTGCAAATAGATGCGTAAACACACATTCTATACTGATAGATAATTATAGGAATAATTAAATAAGATGCTACTTGTGTTCTTAAGTATTTATTTAACATTTTTGTCGTTTGCTTAGTTTTTATAAGGTTTTATTTACTGTATCAACATAATTCAGTATTAAATTCGTAGTTTTATTTTATGCCAAGGAATTTTATTTTAATAACCAACAGCTTAAAAATAACAAAGTAATACAATTATTAAAGTCTGATTTTAGTGAACAGTTGTTTTCGAAGTCCCAAATTATAAGAATCATGTAAGTGACTGTGCTGGGGATCTCTGAAACCTTCTTGTAAACTGGTCCAAGATCTCCTATGAAATGGTACTCCTAAAGTGTCTAAAATTTGAGAGGCTAAGGTGGGAACAATTGGCTGCAAAGCCACACCAGACACCCGCACAGACTCCAAAGCAATCCGTAGCACAGAGTCTAATTTGGTGCGATCAGGAAGGTTTTTAAGCTCCCATGGCTTTTCTTCCTGAATAAAAGCATTAGCTTGACGAGCCACTGACATTATCACATCTATGCCACGATGGAAGTTAAAATCAGAATAATGTTTTCCAACTGCACCAGGAAGATCAACTAGCTGTTCTACCAACTTCTGTCCTGTTAATGACATCTCTTCAAGATACTGAGAGTTGAGTGGGGGCATTTGCTGACTTGGATTTAGGACTGGAGCTGTGCAACGATTAAGAAGATTTCCCAAAGTGTCTGCAAGTTCAACATTAAGCATATGTATTGCACTTGATTCACTCCAATTGTTGTCAGAATGTGGTGTGCCCAATCTCAATAATAAATACCGCAATCCATCAGCTGAATACAGCTTCATGTAGTCCTGAGGACACACTACATTCCCAAGTGACTTACTAATTTTTTCTCCCTCAACTGTCCAGTGGGAATGGCATAGAAGAAAACGTGGTGGTTCCAATCCCATACTGAGCAAAAGTGCAGGCCAGTAAATACCATGGAAGCGTAATATATCTTTGCCAAGTATCTGAACATCAGGTGGCCATAAAGTTAATTCAGGGTACCCTGAGACTGTGAGGTAGTTAATGAGGGCGTCCACCCAAACATAGACTGTCTGCAATTCGTCACCAGGAACTGGTATTCCCCAAGAAACACGAGTACTAGGTCTTGATACAGAGAGGTCCTGAAGGTCGTCATTTACCCATCTCTGCAACTGTTGATGATATATCTTTGGCCGCACTCGGTTTTCATCCTTCAACCAATACTGTAAATCACTCTGAAACTTTGATAACCTAAACATGTAATTTTCCTCAGTGTTCCATTCAACCAAGTGACCACTCTCAGCACTTACAAGCCTTTTCTCACCAGATGAAAGTGTCACCTCATGTACTTGTGCATCTGTTAGAAATGCCTCATCTGAAACACAGTACCATCCACTGTAGTTACCACGATATATGTGACCCATCTCCATTAAGGTACTAAAAAAATGCTTTACAGCATATTTATGTCTCTCCTCTGATGTGCGAATGTATTGTGTATACTGAATATTTGCCAAGTCAAAGAGAGTTTTAAATTTGTCAGAAACACTGGTACAAAATTGAAATGGATCACATCCACTTAGAGCAGCAGCCTGCTGGATCTTCAAACCATGTTCATCTGTACCCGTAGAAAAAATTATTGATTCTGTCGGTACTCCTTGCAAAAGCTGGAACCTGAATGCAGCATCAGCAAGAAGTGCTGAGTATAGATGCCCAATATGTGGCTGTGCATTCACATAAAATATTGGCGTTGTAATGAAGAAGCCTTTACTCTCATTTGTTTCACTTGAAATATTTCTAGCACACCAAACCATTCTTGTTTTTCCTTTAACTCCATACCTACTTATTTTTCCTAATGAGCACCTGAATGAGTTGGCTGCTAGTGTGGGTAATCTAGTTAATTTCATCGGAATCATTTTATCCTCCTACAAAATGCTGCATTAAACAAGCATTAATTTACTTTAATCATTAGACAACACTTCTCATTCAGCTTCGGAAAGATTACTTTAATATTTCTTTACTGCACTGGAAACAATGGAGAAAGTTACATCTTCATTTTGATTAATATGAAGAAAATATATCTTGAAGAATATCGATGTTTATGTCAGCATCTTTTTGTAGACTCAAATGTCAGGGTATTCGTTTCTTCCTGCTGGATAAAAATGACCATTATGTACTTCATAAAAAGTTTAAAGTTTATCCTACTAATAAAATATTCAACTGTATAGTACAGTATTTTTAAATCATTATAATTCAAAGCATATACAGTACTGCATACATATAAGCATGGATGAAACATGCCTAGACTATGCATAAATTAATAAAATATATACAGTACAAAGATATACCATACCCACAACCTTGCAGCTACACTATTACAAAATGCAAGACCGTGCATGTGGAGCATAATAATACACATCATAACTACAAGATTAACAAAATTACCTTGCAGCAAAATTAATCTTTGACTTCAATGAAAAGAGGGTAGCTATTCAACTGTATAAATCTCCGATGTGACCCCACATGGATTACTGTATCCAAGCATACAGACCTCATCTTCAGAGAGATATACAGTTGCTGCTTTGGAGAAAGTTCAACACCGGGCAATAAAAATAATTCCAGATAAGTCAACTCTCATATCAAGAATGGTTGAGGGCCACAGGGCTAACAACACTGGAAACCAGGCATAGCAAGGCGGATACCATCGAAACCTTTAAAATACCGAGTAATTTGGAGGATGCTGACCCAGACCACTTCTTTAAAAGGTTAGATATAACACAAACAAGGAACAACAGTTTGAAGCTCAAGTCACAATGTAGGGCAGAAAACAGAAGATGTTTTTTCACCCATAGGGTTATAAAACCATGGAACTACTTATTTGTCAAAGCCATAAATGCCAAAACACAGCTGCAATTTAAAATTCAGTTCAGTAAAATCATCAGGATAAATGGGGAAACCCTCGACAAGCCATCAGCTTCCTGTCCTCATCAAGGCAATTAGAGATAGTGGCCCTCAGGTAAATTAGAAGGATATTGATCCAGACCAAATCTTTAAAATGTCAAATGTAACACATACAAGGAGAAATGGCTTTAAGCTTAACAAGCCACAATGTTGGACAGAAAACAGGAAATGCTTTTTAACCAATACAGTTATAAAACCATGGATCCTACTACCTGTCAAAGCCATAAATGCCAAGACACTGCTGCAGCTCAAAATCTAGCTGGAGAAAAAGAAAAAAAAATGGGGGGAACCTTTTACAAGGTGCCAGCTTGCTACGCCCCCATTAAGGCCACTAGAGAGATGGTGCCCTCAAGTAGATGATTTCACTTATTCGCTTTTATTTTCAAGAATGTGTATGGCCATTAAACTGCAAGGAGAATACATAAACAAATAGAAAAATGCATTATTGGTAATAAAAAGGTATCCAGAGACTGGTTCCAAAATTAGCCAGTTTCTGAAACATTAAAACCAAGTACAGTATCTTTACTGGATACCTACATATCTATGCAAATAAAGGGACCTAGTCTATGGAACTCACTCCCTAATGAATTGAAAAGCTGTTCAACTTTTGCGTCATTCAAAAACAAAACTAAAAAGTACCTAATTTCATCTTCATAGTTTTCTACCTTGTTGCTTTAAAATTGCACTGTATCTAGTGCTACCCAATCTCTCAATCTTTATGTACCCAATCCAAACAACTATACCATTGTGATCATTGTTGTCTTCTTATATGTGCTATCAATTTGCTGTATGGTGCCTATTAATCTTTGTTTAAATTACCAATCAAGCTGTCAATGCAATCAATCAGAGCTTTAAAAATTATCTGTTAGATTAAGGACCTGCCCGAAATGCTGCACGTACTAGTGGCTTTACAAGATTGCAATTACCATGCTATGTATTCTCACAAACTCAATGTATCTTCTTGTATATAAATAAATAAATAAATAAATAAATAAATAAATAAATAAATAAATATCATTTGAAAATATCACTAACATATGCCAAAAACACCATGCTACCTTACATTTTAACCCTTCTGATATGATGCGCACTCAAGAATGCTCCTGGGTTTCTCGTGGAGAGCATGTACCTTGCTTATGAGAGTCAAGACATCTGGTACACAGTAGGTAAAGTATGAAAATGTGTGATTGGGTGTGCAATCATCAGTAGACTCTGGGGGGACAGAATAGCCTTGATTTGATGAATTGGGTCATCAATGCTAATTTATTGCTTATTTTTCTCAAACTCTCCACCTTTTTCTCTATACATAATTACATGAACTTGAATTATTCACAGAATACATTATTATTAAAAAATCAGAAGTAGCCCCAAAATAATTTACACATTGGAAGAGTTAAAATCAGAACTTAACGGTCAGTGGTTCCTGAGAAATTAGTTACCAAATATGACTGGATTGTAAGTCTTGAAACATATGGAACGAAGCAGTAAAAAATATTACAAAACAATATAAAAAAACACCAGTAAAGAGTACTAATACACCCTGCTACTGTGTTCCATAATATCAGATCTTAATGCTCAGCAGTTGACAAGAGACAACTACCATCAAGAGGAAGGTTAATGTTATAGATTTTCTTCAGTAGGTCTTACCTCAAGTTTTTTTTTTTTTAAGAAAGTCGGGAAGATACTGGAGCAGCCCGACACTGACAAACAACAACATTCCCAATTCTAACTCCAAGATCAACCGCCATGTATGGTCTATCAAGCACCCAGTGTCCAATCCCTCCAGTATTGGCAGTGGACGAAAGTCACATCATAAACAACACTGCTTGTCCATGGATTTTAAATCCTACTAACCCTAAACATATCTTGAGAGGTTATGTTGAGATGATTTCGAGGCTTAGCATCCCCACGGCCCGGTCCTTGACCAGGCCTCTTTTTTTTTTTTAGTAAACATCCCCAGGAAGCAGCCCGTAGCAGCTGTCTAACTCCCAGGTACCTATTTACTGCTAGGTTAACTAGGAGCATCAGGGTGAAAGAAACTGCCCATTTGTTTCCGCCTTCACTGGGGATCGAACCCCGTAACCTCAGGACTACGAATCCGAGGCGCTGTCCATTCGGCTGTCAGGCCAGCTTACCTAAACTTTTTTACCCTAATCGTACTAAACCCTACCTAAACTATGGGACCACAGACTAATGGGGGTTATAGTATAATTGTTCACAAGATGTTTTGACAAAACACGTTATGTTTGTTAAAACTATATATTGTTAGGTTGTATTAGCCTAGGTTAGGCTGAAGAAGGTTGTTGAGTTAGTTTATTTAAACCAACTGAGCATGTAGTAGGCTCAGTTGGTTTAAATAATAATACAATGTATCAGGGGACAGCCAGCCAGTGTATATATATATATATATATATATATACATAATAATAATAATAATAATTTATTTAGGAAAAGTACATACATAGTTGCAGAGTTACAGTACAAACATTTTGTTTGATTTAAAGATAGAGGTAGTACATACAATACTTTATTTGTATTTGTTTTCAACACTTTTTATTCTTTTGCTCAATTAGTATTAAGTTCTAGATATTAATGTTTTTCTTGCCCGAAACGCATTGCGTAATAGTGGCTTTAGGCATTGTATGTACTAGCTCTATCTATATATCAATCCATTAATGTAACATCACTTGTATGTATGTACCTTACCTGAATAAACATATTTATTTATTTATTATTTATTTACTTAAAGCCACTAGTACGCATAGCGTTTCGGATGTAGCGAGTAATCCTTATACTCGTTCCATTATCTCATTATCTTAATAGCATAACTAATTAGCACTAATTACAGAAGCTACAATCCTTTCCCCAATTACAGGTAATACTCTTCTCACCTTGTTGGAGGGAGCCGAGGTGTAATCACCATATATGCAAGCGATTTGATGAATATCGAACAGTACAATCTCCAGTCAAGAATGTAGTACACCTGTACTCGGTGTAGGCAGTTCTAATCGACCCAAGACGCTACAGCTTCGACACAGAGCAGGCAGCAGACTACGACCTCGTCCAGCTACAACGCTCTCCCACATAGAGCTCCGCGACTCCGGCCTCACTCAGCTCTCTGCTCTGCTCCAGGCTTCGTCTCAACGTCTACGACACTGCTGTACCCGCGACTACTAAATAAATATTAAACACTAAACACTGTGTATCTAATCAACCCAACAACGTAACATAAACGTACGTTACATGGGCAAAAACATGTTAGGCTTATATCAAGGTTCCCCTCTCCCCTAAGGGTCGAATTAGAGTCCCTTTCCCAGTGATATAACCCCACATCAAGCTGACTAATTCCTGGGTACCTATTTACTGCTAGCCAAACAGGTGCATTAGGTGATAGGAAACACACCCAAGCACTTCGGTTCCACCAGGGATTTGAACCTGGAATTCTCGATAATAAATCACCCCTTGTATGTTTGTACTTTACCTAAATAAAGGTAAACTTTACCGTACCGTTTAAAGAAGTACTTTACCGTCTACGGTGACATGCAGCCAGACTAAACTGATATTGTTTAATTAGAAAATTGGCTTTGTAAAAGCCCGTGTCAATTTTAAAAATAACATCAGTCATTTAACTCTTATAAACGTCGACTTTCAGCTTGTATTTAATAACAATGTTTTAATATTGGGAATAAATAGAACTTACTGATAAACACTGAAGACCTTCCCTGACCTGCTCCGGGCCGCCACTACTACTTCGTACACACACACACTAGGTACACGTGCTTAAGTGTGTACGAAATAGTAAGACTCTCCCAGGAGCCGTTTTTTCTAATATATTTTTTTAATTAACAAGCTTAGGTATATACAGCACTGTGCTGCTACCCTATTTTATATTGATAAATTACACAGTGTAGATAAAAAAACTAGCTATAAGTTCATCTAATATTCCCATCTCGCAGGATGGTTAGTTATACATGGAATTAGGGGAGAGAAAATACCTGCCTAAATACAAAAATAAATCAACTCTGACTAAATAGCAACTTCGCGATTTTTCTCATCACACAGGACGGCCAGTCATATATGGAATCATGAGAGAACATGAAATGTAAGGCTGATCTATTAACCTCCTCCACTAACAAAATCAGGGAATAGCACAAGAATATCTTCCAATATTCCTGAGTGAATGAAGTAATTACAGACAAAATCAAAATCAAAATGTTTATTCAGGTAAAAGTACATACATAGAAGATGAGTTACAAACATAATGTTGGATTTACAGAGAGCTAGTACATACAATACCTAAAGCCATTAATACACAGAGTTTCGGGCAAACGTACCTCATGACCTCAGACCTCAAAGTACCTCATACCATTAAGATTGATTGATTAATAAAGATTGATTAAACCCCCCAAAAGGTGGCACGGGCATGAATAGCCCGTAAACATACCATTAGGTCTGAAGTCACTTATAATAGGGCAATGGTGGTCAGGGCGAGAGAGAGGAATGATGGGGGGCGTGTGAGGGTGAGAGGGAGGAGTGAGGGGGGCCATGTGAGGGCAAGAGGGAGGAATGAGGGGGGAGAAGTGAGGGAGAGGAGAGAGAGGGGGGGCCGAGTGAGTGAGGGGTAAGGGACGAGCCTCACCAACACGTTTGTTTACATGTGAGTCGCGTTGGCTTCAACACTATTTTTACACCCGATATATTGTAGTCTTAGAGTGAGTAACACGCAGCTGTGTCCTTGGTGAAGGTATCCTGGCCACGGTATATGGTGTTGGTGCACGGTATGCTAAGGCTTGGCGGCGTGGAAGTACTTTATACACGGTGAACATTGTATAAACTGCCTTCCCTCGGTGCTCTTGTAGGGCTTGAGGACGAGTCGCCCCACTTGCAGCACCTGTATTCACCCAGTTATATTCACCTAGTTGTGCTTGCGGGGGTTGAACTCTGCTCTTTCGCCCCGCCTCTCAACTGTCAATCAATCAACTGTTACTAACTAACTTTTCCCCATCCCCAGGAAGCAGCCCATAACAGCTGTCTAACTCCCAGGTACCCATTTACTGCTAGGTAACAGGACCATCAGGGTGAAAGTAACTCTGCCCAATTGTTTTCGATGGCGCCGGGAATCGAACCCCAAACCACAGGACTACGTATCCAGCGTGCTGTCCACTGAGCCACCAGCCCTGTACCACCAGCCACCTGTGGCTTCCTCCTGCTGGAGGCATTCTCCTCCACCAGGCGACCTATGTGTGGTCAGGTCAAGGTGAACTCTCATATTCTACACGTAGCCTGTTTCCTGACCTCATCTAGGTAACTTGAGATTGTGACCTTCAGGGAAATGGCACAGTTTGGTATGTCATTGGAGTGGGGAAAGCTGTTAATTTGATTGAGGTTGCCCTTAGAGAAGGACGAGGTTGGCAATGTGGTCACCCAGTCAGTTATTAAAAAACCCAACTGGCCTAGTGATGCACACATCATGTGTCAATATGGGAATTGTGGATTAACGGTATACTATTAGAAAGAAGTAACCCTTGTGTCAATCATTTACATCACCACTCATGGAACTTGTACATCTTTCATCAGCTTAGTTTGCTTTTATTAAAAAAATAAGTTACGAGGTACAAGATTGTAAAAGACTGTCCACTAATGACGTTGGGCCGAGAACAACCTAATAGTGTTTTGAAACTAATAAATGGTTTGATAAATACAGTCTAATTTCTATTTATGAAAGTATTCTATGCCTTGAGAGAACATGTGACCTCTACTCTATTCATGAGGTGTGTGCAGCTGTTTGGAATTTTGTGGCTGTGTGTACAGTAATCTGTTCACGATATGTAGGACTTTGTCAAATTGTTGGTGGTAAGCATAGAGAAGCATTAAAAGATATGCTGTTGGAAATGTAAATTAGCCCATTAGAAGGCTTGAATCATCAGAAGACTGTAATATAACAAGTGGTATCTTATTGTATTTTATTATTTTATAAAGATATTATAAGTGAACTTAAAGGCTGCATACCTAGCCAAACTGATTATCTAGGCGTTAATGCATGCCAGCCTATACTGTGTTACAACAGCTTATGAGTACCGTTTGATGAAAGTGATTTATATCACACATGACTTCATAATACGTATATACAGTACTTTTATGTTAATACAATGTTCTCTAGTATTGTACTGTACTGTATTGAAATTTATTTATAATTATTTTACTAATTGTTTTTGATAATTCTCTTATTTTGCAGTCAAATTTTGTTTGGCATAGTTATAAAATATATAAATGATAGAATCATTTCTTACTTTCATTTTAATCTTGTTTTGGTTTAAGAAGTTGATTCATCCTCAGGAGGGACATTATAAATAATGGAAGATATAGAAGATTTAGTACGTGATGGGGCAGATCTCTTTGCCCAACGGTCACGCAACTCAGTGATGCCAAGAGTGAGGCATAGAAAGATGGTTGCTTCTGAGGAGGTTGGTAATGTGCTTGGTATGTTGTTTAACATTTGTGAATTCTCTTAATTTATTTCTGTGAACAGTACTGTATTTGAGTTTTTAAATTGTATGACGATAATTTGTGATAATTACATCCTATCCTCAATACACTGCCCTGTGCTCGTTGCACCACTATATTCATTATAACTGCTGTTGCTATCAACTCCTCTGTACTCATTTAAAGACATTGTATTGTGAGATATTCCAGACTGGGGATATCTTTCTCACCCTCATCCATATCATACTGACCCATATCTGGCCGCAATATTTATATTTAATCTGTCTGCATGATATCCATTCATAAATAACTTCACCCTTGAAAAGACATGAGAGATTTTCTTAAGATAATTCATGATTAAAAAAAAAATTCTGGGAGGGTCCCCTCGCTGTCCAGTCACTTTAGGAAGACACACCAGGCCCCTGAGACCCACCCTTGCATACTGTGAGCCAGAACCAGAGCATCCTAACTGTGATGTGTGTGACCACCAAATTCCGGTCCTGGCTCCTGGTAGGCAAGGGGGGGGGGAGGTCTGGTGCATTTTCCTACAGCTTGACTGAATCAGCACTTAGCTTAGGAAATTACTGATAGCCTCAACAAAAATGGCCATTTTATTAAATTTAGGGCTTCATTTTGTTTTTTGGGTAATATTAGGTGAGAGAGGAGTCAGCATGTGAGAATCGGTGTACGAGCATCATCCCAGGGACCCAGAAGATATACCTTAAAACGTGGGGATGTGCACACAACAGCTCGGACAGCGAGTACATGGCTGGCCAACTGGCAGCATATGGATACAAAATTGTTGGTTAGTTATTTAGTAATTTAACTTATATTTTTTGTGACACAAGTGTTCTCGTGTTGTAAGTTATAAACTAAGTATTTGTCTTAATGTTTAGAATTTACTAAAATAATGTTTCACATTGAAAGTGTTTAATTTATCTTTTTATATGCTTTGTCCTTCTGGTACAAAATACATCTCTGATTCAAATGAGTGCCGAGCTTAGTGTGAAGAAGCAATTCACTAATTATGCTTAGTACTCCTAATTGCACTTCTTAATTGCATATTTTCATAATAACTGAATTACTTAAAAATTAATGAGTTTTCTTGTTTCATGAATCTTAGTTCATAAGGATGTAATATCAAGCTTTACAAAATAATATATATCATAATTTAACATACACTGACTCAGACATGAAACTCAAGAGGAAAAAAGGAGAAAAAATAAATGTGACTTTGCTCATGATGCTGACATGAACCTTGAATAAATTGATTAAAGTTTACCATACTTCGTGCCTCCTATAGATGAAAAGTCAGATGCTGATGTATGGGTACTGAACAGCTGTACGGTGAAGAATCCAGCTGAGGACCACTTTCGCAATGAGATCAAAGCAGGGAGAGAAGCTGGCAAGAAGGTGGTGGTGGCTGGTTGTGTGTCTCAAGGTAAACATTAGTAATACCTGTAATGAAGAAATTGAGGTAGTTTTCCCCACTCTTTGCCACTGCTTACTGAGGCATCCTCTTTCCCACTGCTTAATGAGGTTGCTTCTTCATTTATATTAGTGAAAGCAACTTAGAGAATTCTTAGGATTGCATTCTGTACAGTTTTCATCTTTTCCAAAACTTTGTGAAAATGAGGCTATGTGGTGGAGTAATATTGCCTTTGCCATCCTGCTATGGTTATGAGGAGTATGGAAAAATGTGCATGTAATAAATAACAGATGAAGTAGCTGGTATGTGTGATATATATTTTTTGCAAGTTTTATAAATAAAAGCATTTAAAAGTTCTCATTATTTTTATGTTTTTCAGCTGCTCCACGTTCAGAGTTTCTGGAAGGTTTAAGCATCATAGGGGTGCAACAGATTGACCGTGTTGTAGAAGTCGTGGAGGAAACCCTGAAGGGTGAGTCCTAATATACTACACTATACCTGGTTACCTGGTTGAAAGTTGATGGGGTTCTGGGAGTTGTTCTACTCCCCAAGCCCGGCCCGAGGCCAGGCTTGACTTTTGAGAGTTTGGGCCACCAGGCTGTTGCTTGGAGCGGCCCGCAGGCCCACATACCCACCACAGCTCAGTATACACAGTATATGTGTATATGCTTAATTTATGTCAACGTTTTGAAGCTGCAGTGCGGTACAGTATATATAGTGATTGCTTTGCACAGTTGGCTCTCGTGATCCCATTTAAATGACCTGGTTTATATAATTGATGGGTTTAGTTTGTATGGTTTTGTTTCATGATGACTTGTATCATACAAGCTGATTCATGTAATGTGAAGGTTTCAAGAAATTATTGTTTTAAATTTTAGTTTTTTGTATAGTAAGCCCTTGCTTTTGTGAATTTGGGCTGTGATATTACACCATTTGTTATGGTAAATAGTAATAAGCCATTTATGATACTTGTTCTTACCTTAGTTCTTAGAAGCCTTATTAAAAATTAGTTCATCTTTAACTTGATGCATGGAACAGTAAAATAAGACTTGGCCCAAGGCATTTCAATCCTTCATACATTTTTATTTTGATATTCAGTCTCAACAGTGAGACATGTATCCAATTGTTCTTTCAGTTGTGCATATAATTCTTCACTTTTTATGTTGCCTTATTATTTTTCTGGCATGCCCCATTGACATTTTACTACAGTACTGGGCCAGGTATACTGATTTTGTAATATTAGTGTTTATATGCTGTACTTCCAGTGTTTTCCAACTCCCTCTTGTTGATCTCTTTATCAAGTTTCTTTCAGGATTTTATTTTATATTTTTACTGAAGTGGGCAAAGGTGCTGTATATGACTACAGTAGTAATTCTTGTAACGCTGATTAGGCTCAATAAGTTATTCTTGTGTTTAATTCGTCCATTTATATTCATCCAAATTGACTTATTTTCTTTATCTCTTTAGGAAATTCTGTAAGAATGCTGAGTCAGAAGAAAGAAGCAGGCAAGAGAAAGGGTGGAGCCTCACTTCTCTTGCCTAAAGTAAGAAGAAACCCTCTTATAGAAATTATATCCATCAACACCGGGTGCCTAAATCAGTGCACTTATTGTAAAACTAAACATGCACGTGGAGAGTTGGGGTCATATGATATAGGTAAGTTTTCTTTTAATTTATACGTATTAAGCAAAGTATGTATCCAGTGACGTGTGTTGAGCTGTTAGTTATTGTGTTCCTAAATTATTTCCCCGGCTAAATACAAATGGGTGGTTATGATAAATATTTTCAGTTCTGGCTTTTGGATATCTGCCATTATACACATGTGATGCTGACCTCATACCCACTATGGTAATGACCTTATACCCTAGTGTTAATGACTTCATACCACTGTGGTACCCTTGTGGAACTGTCATCATACTCGTGGTGCTGACATCATATCCCTGTGGTACTGACCTCACACCATCTGTGGTTCTGAGCTCATACTCCAGTGGTACTGGTCTCATACACCCTGTGGTACTGGTATCATACCCCCTGTGGTACAACTGGTATCATACCCCTGTGGTACTGGTATCATACCCATGTGGTACCGATAGCTCTATCGACCCTGTACAGTAGTGGTGATCTAACCGTCATCAGGTAGTGGCAAGTTTCCTTCATAGTTGAGAGTGAAAATTGGCATTCAATGTGTTGCCAGTTATCACTTGGGGGGATGTTGATACATTTGTTCTGCACTGCAAAGAGTGGTCTTTGTCAGTAGTAGATTAAAATGGAGGTAGATTAATGGTAGATTAAGAGGGGAGACAAGGGAGATTATTCTTTATTGACTCCTGTACAAAATTATGTGCTGAGATTATTTGTGAAGCTCCTTACCACTGTTTAGCAAGGTTTGATGAGAGCTTGGCATCTTAGCAATGTCTCCTGGGTGGGGTCCTGACTGTTGGCTTAGTGAACAATATTTTGCATTATAAAAACTGTAATTAAATTGTAATGGGTCCACTACCATTATATGGAAAGAACACTATTTTTTCTTATAACAAATGTAATAAAAATGGCAAGCAAATTATTTCTTTGGCTGTATTGCTTATTGAGTGTACTGTATTTATGATGATATACTGTCAAGGGAACATATAGCCCAGTATTGGGTTAAACCATAATTTGTATTATGAATTTTAAACACAAAAGTATTTGTTTATATTTTTGTAAGTAAGGATTTTTAATGGTATAAATGGAAAAATCAGATCTTTTACTTACTAAAAGTGTAATTTAAAAACTGCCCAAAATAAGCTTAATAGCTACAAAATAAGCTTAATAGCTACATTTTGACCTTGGTGGGAACAACATTTGGGTGACACAGTCAGACGGGTTAACATGTAAATGTTGATGTAAATGTTGTAATAAATTGTGAAAGGATGAAAAATAAATAATATATATGCAGTAATTTACTATTGGAATCTAAACAGTGATACATACATATATGGACAATGTGCTTGTCTGTCTTAATTGTCTCTCATTAGTAATACTAGATTATAATTTTGTAAGTTTCTTATCAATAAATACTTAGAAACATCACAATTTCTTAAGAGAATTTGGTGTATTTTTGTCAGTTTTGAAACCATCAGGTAGATGTATACATTGCAAAATGTATCTGATTTTGTAATAAGATCTTGCAAATTGTAATGAATTTGATATTTGTCCTCTTACAGAAGAAGTAGTGGCCAGAGCACAACAGTCATTCAGCGAAGGTGTGTGTGAGGTGTGGCTGACGTCTGAAGACACCGGAGCCTATGGGCGAGATATTGGTGTTTCGTTACCAGAGCTGCTCTGGCAACTGGTGGAGGTCATACCTGAAGGCTGTAGATTAAGACTGGGCATGACAAACCCACCTTACATATTAGATCATTTAGAGGTAAGTTTATCCTGTTATATATTTTCCTTTCTATTAGTATCTTTGACTCCTTCATTGGTTCAGTTATGAGTGTTTCTGATAAATGAGTTCCTGACACATCAGATTGGAGTTTCCCTCTGTGTTACATACAGTACCTGGCATATTTTGCCGAGTATTTGATTTTCTGTGTTTTGCAGGAAATGGCCAAGATTATGCAGCATCCTCGTGTTTATGCCTTTCTTCATGTACCCGTCCAGTCTGGGAGTGATGGTGTGTTGGGGGACATGAAAAGAGAATATTCAATTGATGATTTTTGTAAAGTGGTCAACTTTTTGAAGGACAGGTATGGCATTGACAAGTACAATGTATTTTGACATAAAAGAAATACAATAGCCTGGATTTTACATAGGAATGCATTAAGCCCTAATGCTAAAAACTGGAACATTAGTATTTTTTTAAGAATCTTATAAGAAAATAAGATGCATTCCAAGATCAAGAATTGTATTATATAGAAAATTATGGTAATGTTAAAACGCTCAGGTATTAAGATTTATTAATATAGCACTATAATGCACAATACAACCATGATATTCCCTCTGCAAATTTCACCCTCCTGGCCTAATTATACATGTTCTGGCCCTGCTCATTTTACCAGCATGTGCTCATTACACCATCCTATGCTCATTATGCCAGCTTGTGCCCTCTATACCAGCCTATGCTCATCATACCCACTGTACTCATCATAGCACAATGTAAACACTGCATCACCTATGCTCATCATACCCACTGTACTCATCATAGCACAATGTAAACACTGCATCCCCCTATGCTCATCATAACCCCAGCCAGACATGTCTGACTGTGGGATACCTTTCTTAATCACCCTCATGTGAGTAAAACACATCTACCGATAGTTATCGCAACTAGATGTGTTTTAACTAGATTTTCACATCTGGTTACAGTATCTTTATCATTTTCATCTTTTAAACGCATTCTAGGTATCCAGTTCATTTTTCTTCTTTGCAGAGTACCTGGTATTACAATAGCAACAGATATTATCTGTGGCTTCCCAACAGAAACAGAAGAAGATTTTCAGGAAACAATCAAACTTTGTAGCAAATACAAGTTCCCATCTCTCTTTATAAACCAGTTTTATCCTCGGCCGGGTACTCCTGCAGCAAAGATGCAGAGAATACCAACAAAAGAGGTAAGTTTCCAGGAAACCATTATTTGTTGACTTCGTGCAATAGATTTACGGATCTAGCTGTAGCTAATGGAAAGCTTACCAGAAGGCATGGAAAAGTGGTGGTGTGCCAGATGCTAGATAAGTGTTGCGATTGTACTGTTGTATAAATTTGGGGGACGTACAGGGTGTGGGCTACAAGTAAGAATAAGGAAGCATGAAGTTCAGATGCCATGTGAACCAATCCTTTACAGTGAATCCTTTACATTATTCTTCTAGAAAAAGATTTCAAGTCATATAATGTGAACTTTTTGTTTTACTGGGTTAATAAGTTTTATAAATATTGCTCCCCTTTCAAGGCAATCACATTCCTTACCGTTTCTCCCTAAAGACTTCCCCAACTGATCCAACCCATTTTGCCTCTTTCCAGGTGAAGAATCGCACGAGGCGATTGACAGAGGTGTTTCATTCTTACCGTCCATATGACCATAAACTGGGAGAAAAGCAAATAGTTCTTGTAACAGAGGAGTCCCATGACAAGGAGCACTGGGTTGGACACAATAAATATTATGAACAGGTAACACTTCTCATATTTCTGGTCACGTGTCATGTAAACTGCACTGTACATGCAGATATGCATGACTCTACAAATTATTTTGCAAAAATGATTAAAATCATTAGAAGATAAAGGTACTACTAAGATTCTTGAAGATGAGGAAGAGTATCATTTTACATTGCTTAGCTGACTAATAACCAATCATTTTAAATGAACTTCCCACCCTTCATTCTTTTCAATATCTCTTACATTTTATACTGAAGTGAAAACTAATTTTGGTGCATCATAGGACCATGTTCTTGGTGCATAGTGAAGCATTTTCTGATATTTAAAAGTGCTTAACAGTAACCAGTAGATGCCAGGCCATGTCATGACTCGCCATGATTGGTATTCACACTGAAGACAAAATATGCAGTGTTCTTGGATTGATAGTTTAAACAGTTCTGGGGAGACACACTTTATTGATTAAAATTGCTATAAGAATTTGGATCAAAGAAGCAACTTCAGTACAGTAATAGTTTTGTAAGTAACTGTGTGTGTAGTACAGTATGTACTATATATATACATATGAAATATGTTTCAATATAAAAGTTACATTTTATGGCTCATTACAGTATTTATATTTTAATTTAGGTCTTAGTTCCAAAAAATGAAGATTTCTTGGGAAAGTTGGTTGAAGTGGAGATTATTGAAACGGGCAAGCACTACATGCGTGGACGACCAGTTGAAACGTCAAAACCCATTTCTCCAACAATGACTGAATCCCTCCCCAAAGGTGAAGTTTCTGGCTTGGTAAACACCCAGGATATCTTAGGTTCCAACAAGAAGAATCAGTTGAAGGAAGATCTTGCCAAGCAGGAACGATACATCATACTAAGTTTCATATTGCTCATTTCAGCCCTCCTAGTCAAACTTGCATGGGTTTGTTTTAAAATGCTAAATGGAAATATGATTGATTAAACTTTTCTACATTTTGTGAATTTTCATGAAAACCTTCATTTTTCAGAGTTGCTAATAAAACAAAACTACAGAATTGTAAATGGAATAGACCCAGATGAGCACTGGGTATGTGGTGTGAGATGGAGAGAGCAAAATGGAAGTTGCCCAACCACTAGGACTATAAGTGCTGTAGTAATTGTAACAATGTGCTTTTAATTGGAGAATATTGATTCCTTGATTAAATCAGTTTGTATTTCCCCAAATGGTTGGATGGCCGGGAAAAGGTTGACCAAATATAGGTCTTGGCAAGCGTTAGCTGCTTAAGAACTGTTGTTAACTGGGCAGGCTGTGGAAATTATTTTTTTGTTCTTGAAAAAGCTAAGAAACACACCACACTGTTTAATACCCCATGATAGTCTTAGCACTCTCCTAAGTTGTCCTTCTAAATTCCTAAATTTAGGAATTGACCAATGTCAAAATGTTGACCAATGGCCCAGATCCTTATGCTTGTCGAATTTGACTGCTTCCCTATCATTGCTAGTGCCACCTGATTGAACAATACTGAAAATGATACAGGCATTGCCCAAGATGAATACACATGTAAAGTCCCACACCAGCTGTCTACCACTTTTCCAGAGATGTATTGTGAACTCATCCGAATGACACATGGAACTGTCGGGATTTTAGGTTTGAAGAAATTGAGGATCTTTCTCTGCTGGGCTCTGGACTGTAGCAAGGCTCTAATTGATTATGTCATTAACATCACTATCTTGCATGCCAAGCCCTGGAACCTCTGTAGTGCTGAATATTCGTCGGCTCTCACTTTGTTGTAAATACACTTGGTGTGAATTGGGGCACAAAGGCAGAAGGCTACAGCAATTTGAAGGGTCTTGTGTTCAAGACATGTTCCTGGTGCAGGCACAGATACTGCTAGAAGAAAATGCTGTGTATAAGGGCAAGCAAGGCTGTTAGGGAGGCCATCTTTTGTTATGACATTGCAGTAAAGCCAATTTTTTATAGGCTTTAACAGTACAATATTCACTTAATTTGGTACTGCTGTGGGATAGAAAATGCCTTGGAAAAGGATGGCCATCTTGTGAGAGTCTATATTTTCGAGTGCGAGACTGAGTGAGTGATTGTTTAAGTGTTAAGTGTAAATAATGGTTTTGTAAAGAAATAGTGGCTTACAAACATCAGTGTTTACTAAGATACTAAAAGGAATGTGCCTTAATACTAACAGTTCAAGCTATATGTTATTGATGCATATGTCAAATCATGCTCTTTCAAGCAGCTCTATGTAAAAGCAGGTTAACGAGAAACTCGGTAATATGGTGTGTGTGTGTGCATGCATTTGTACTCATTTGCATCATTTCCATGTCTTTTATTTTACAGAGTCAAACATCTTCCAGTCAAATATCATATTTGGAGCGAAATATAAATACTGTATATATGCATACTTAATAAAGGCCAGAGTTAAATTGATGTGGATACCCCTCTCACATTGGGCTGTAAGAACATGATAAAGTTTATTCCCTTGCCAAGATTACAGTAAATAAAAATAATGTTAAACATAATCTTGGGTTATCCAATAGAATCTTATAAATTGTCATTAAAGGAGACCTGAATTTAAAGAAATCAGAAACTAGCAGGTTCGTTGTTGGCTTTTTTATCGACTCTCAAATGGGATCCCGTTCAGGACAGCAATAGTTGGGCATATTTTGTTTCACCTACTGCCTCTGTTCATCTAGCAGTAAGTAGGTACATGGAAGATAAACAAATGTTGTACAGTTTCATCTTGAAGAAAATCGGTAGTTTGACCTAGGAAGTACTACAAGATTAACGTATATACAGCATATATGCAGGCTTCCTGTACCAATTACAGGAATTTTTTAGGATTAAATTTGTTGAACAAATCATTTGCATTGTGCAAGTAACAAAATCACTAGACTGATAGATGCTGTTACAGCTTGAATACTTCTGGGCTGCAAGTATCTCTGGCAGTTTGCTTGTTCTGTATAGGAATCTAAATGCCATGAAGTGTAGGGTGCGTGGACAAGGGCAGGAATGTACATTATATTGTATTCTGTGAAAATTTAGCCATTTTAGGGATACTGTAGATCTAAATAGTATGAAATGAAATGCCTGTATTGTATTGCAGATGGTAAAGTACACTAAATTAAATTCTTGCTCTGTGTCCATATTTTGATTCTATTAGATAATGGAAAATATAGGATGAAAGTACATAAGCTGTGTACCATAAAATGATAAACAACTCTGGTACTCAACAATGGAAATTATATTAAGTACTGTACTGAATTACCAAAATTACTTAACTCCAGTGTGTAATATTAGTCATGCAAAGCAGTTGCAGAGCAAGAAGTGCTGTTATTAGTTATCATAAATAATTATAAGGTGTGCTGATAAATTAATTGTTTAACAACATTAACTAAGGTCTGATTAAGACCTTTTATGCCCTCTGTAATTCTTTTGTGCTACTGCTCACAGGATGAGTATGGGGTGCACAATAAATAATCCTCGGGATGAGTATGGGGTGCACAATAAAATACCACTTTATACCGAGTATGGGGTGCACAATACACTGTCATAAAGTATATACTGTATAGGGCAACGTGTAATTCCATTGCATAATTCGTGATGAAATATATTGGGGATGGTGTTATTCAGTCATAATTTATAAAATACCTATAGGTGAATAATATTTACGGTCGCACTCAGATGATGAGGTCATCAAGATGGCGCCCATCCATAATTTTTATTTAAATCTTGACTGACCCCGTGACCCCGTCAAGTGCTGGTGCTGCGTCAGGAGCACCTGGAGGAGGGGACGACCCCTGCACCCACTCCTCCACACACCTCTGTGCCACGTGTAGTATCCATATATTGATGTTAGTGTTGTATGGCGCTGTTGTTTGTGAAAATTTCCTCTTGTATGTAAGACTTGAATGGTGCGCAATATTTGTCTTCAATAAAAAAAAGAAATGGCTATTGTAATATAACTATGGTTTAGGCTTTCATGTTTTATCGACATGTGCGTTGATTAGTGATAACGGTGAGGCTTATCTGACGGCGTCTGGCTGTGACGCAAGACACCTTCATCACTGTAAATATTTTCGTGAGCCATAAACCTGGAGGGGTTTATTCGGGAAGAAATGATTGCATAAAGGCATGATTCTAAGCATATTATATAACAAAAAGTAGGTGTGAGAGCACTGTAGAGGACGTGGTATCCTTCAATGAATGAATGAGTACATTAAGCAATACGAGACGAGGAGTTGGCACCATTGACGCGTAGAATATAACGGAAGAACAGGATATTGGACGCCGGATGTAATGTTTTCCAGAGTAAAGACATCACGGTGAATATCAGTCTAGCTGAGAGATATATGGTTTCCTATTGCCAGGGGACAGGAAGCCTTCGAGTGTATAGAGGTCCTATGAGCCAAGGGATGACACCCACAACAGTTGCTTAACTCAGGTACATATTTACTAGTAAGTGAACAGAGGCATTATATTTACCTCAATTTACCTGAGGGCCACTAACATTAGTGGCCTCGCCGATGACAGGAAGCCGGCGGCTTGTCAAATGTATCCCCATTTGCCTTGATAATCTTTTCCAGTTGGATTTTGAAATTCAACAGTTTTGGCATTTACGGTTTCGGCGGGTAGGCGGTTCCGTGAGTTTATAACCCTGTGGATGAAAGATGTAAGAAACGTGAGCAAATGACTCTTCCTGCTTGGAAACCGAACCTTACAGTAATGTGGTTAGATGAGCTTAAGGCGATTGCCACCTGTATGCGTTATATTACATCATTTATAACTTGTCTGAATTGATATCTTTAAATTTGTTCAGCATTTTGAAGAGCTCGATGAGATTTACTCTGTAAATCTCATCGAGATTTGAGGCTTCAACCGTTCCTGGTATGAAAGTTAACTTAGTTCTGGGGTGATTTTTTGTCGCTCTGCATTGAACTTTTTCCAGAACAGATATATTCTTTGAATGTAAGATCTCCATGCTTGGATACGTGTAGTAGTGCAGATGCGGCACACCTGTTGGAAGCCGACTATATTAATAAAGAGCTCCTTCGAAGCATATATAGAAGTTGCCTTCTCCATACAATTAACTTTAAGAGCAAATACGACGCAGAACTAGATAGTCAAAGGTATTTTAAAAAAGCACCAGATACAACTCGTAATCACTGATAAGCAAGCACTAATAGTTAAGTGCTATTATAATGGTTGCATAGTAAATATATAGTAGTCATCTCTAGCGAAGATATGCCAGACGAACCACGATCCCAATGGTTCGATTCCCGGGGCAGAACAGAGATGTTTCGTCATGTTCCCTTACATCTAGTACCACTGTTCACCTAGCAGTAAATAAGTACCTGGGAGTTAGGCAACTGTTGTGGGTAGCATCCAGGGGAATGGCCAGTCGACGTTGGCTCGTATGACTTCGATAAGTCGTTTTAGGTTTCCTGTCCCTGACAATGGCAGGCCATCACCCCCCCCCCCCACACACACACACACACCAGCCCCACATACACACACACACACACCAGCCACATATACACACACACACACACTGATCCATCACAATATACATGTAGAGTGTTTTCTGTAGACAATTTCCTAATTATACAATCATATGTTGCCCTCAGCTCTCCTATTTCATACATACTTTTTTCTTTTGCAAGGGAGTAATTACTACATCTACTCCTACCTGTTGCTCCAACTTTTGTAACAGCCTTTTGTGAAGTACTGTGTCAAAGGCTTTCTGACAGTCCAGGTAAATACAGTCTGCTCATCCTTCTCTTTTTGCCTAATTTGTGTTGCTTGGTCATTGAATTCTATTAAACCTATGAGGCACGATTTACCATCTCTGAACCCATAGTGGGGGTGTGTTACAAAGCCATTTCCCTCTAGATGCTCTACGAGCCTTTTTCCTCACGATATTCTCCATCACCTTGCATGGTATACAAATTAGGGAAACTGGCCTGTAGTTCAGCGCCTCTTGCCTGTCACCCTTTTTTGCATAATGGGACTACATTAGCTGTTTTCCAGCTTTCCGGTAGGTCTCCTGTTTTCAGTGACCTGTTATACACTATAGAGAGTGGCACACTTAGTGCCTCTGCACCTTCTTTTAGTATCCACGGTGAGATTCTGTCAGGCCCAACAGCCTTTGTCACATTTAGCTCCAACAGATTCCTTTTGACCTCATCACTGGTGAGGTCAAATTCCTCCAGGGTTGCTTGGTTTGCCTCCTCATTTAATGCAGGGACTTCTCCTTGTTCTATTGTGAAGACCTCATGTGTTGAGTAATTAAAGGTCGTAGATAATTTTGGGTAGTAGTTCAAGTTCAAGTTCAAGTATGCTTATTGAGATAAGCAAGAAATACATCTCAAAGGGATAGAGTAGCTTAGGCTATTTCTACCCCCCCCCCCACCCAATTTGGGTAGTAGAACCCCAGGCACAGATACCATAGGTGAGATAAAGAAAAATGAGTAATAGTGTTACCATGGCAGAACGTGATACACATGGTATCTGATTTTAGAAAAAATGCCAACTGTTTTAGAATTTATTTGTTGCTATATATTGTATATGACACTGGAAATTCAGCTTGTTATCAACGAGAACACCAAGGAATTTACCATCTACTCTGTTACTAATTTGAGTATTGTTTATTCTTACTCATCTAGTTGTGCTTGCGGGCTCTTCGGTCCCGCCTCTCAACTATCAATCAACTTACAGATCTTTGGTTAATTTGATCCGTGGATTTATTACCAAACAAAATATAAAAGGTTTTATCAGCATTAAAGGTAAGTTTGTTAGAAGTTAACCAAAGATGTACCTTTTTTTTAGTTCAGTATTCACTGTGTTGTTCAGAATAAGATTATTAACATCTTATTAAGAAGATAATAATATTATTGAGATTAAGATTATAAGAGTTAGGAATTATCCGGAAAATTCTGCTACATTCACTAATCCTCAATCAGTCAACTAAAATTATTATATTACATAAACTCTGAAGCTTCCGTATATTTATGTGGATTAAATTTGATAAGAAGTACGTATGATGACCGCACAGGTGAATCATGTGATTAGCACAGGTAATTTGCCTACTGATAACGTGGATGTCTTTTCCGCTGCCCGGTGATATTAAGTACTCTATACTTGCAAAAATAAAGTACTAGAGACTATAAATACTATATTGGATACTACATATTCTCCAAACACACTATATATAAGTAACCGAAACTCTGATGTTACCAACCTGACTTCCCAATATAATCTCATGAATTATATCTTAAATTCATAAACCAAATGATGATGCACAACTATAACATTATCAGTTAAAACAAAAAATCAAATATGATATAATATTTTCTCTCATTTTATAATATAAATTATATATTGACATTAGGGAGCTTATAAGATAAATTAGACGTGAGGAAACTTAAGCGTGGCGACGGTGGCGCCGGTCCTGAAGATCGTCGGGGAGGAGCGCTCCGTGGGGACACCTTCAACAATCGATAGCAAGACGTTGAGCCCCGAGAACGTGTGTGAGCGCCTCGTTCTCTCTCATATAGACTCGTAACAGCGGCTTAAGAGAGACACACACACAGACACAATGTGCGGGGGATTTACTTGCTCTAAAAACTCGCTGTTGGCCCTCAACATCTTGTATGTTGTGAGTATCTGGCGCGTGTTGGGTGGCCAGGTTTGTTGTGCTTACCTGAGCTCCGTCGGGACGTGATTTACCTGTCCCGGGATTATTAAGTTAATGTGCTCCACGTTATATTTTCGGCCTCTTGGGGCGAGAAGTAGAAAAATTATTTCATTTTTTATTCACATATTATCGGTGTCGTCGCTAATTGGACGTGATGGAAGTGTAGGAAACATTTTGGATGAATTACAGGACTGTAATGCCACGACTGTTATTTGCAAGGCTGTTTAACCTAGATAAGCCATTACAGGAAATGCTGTAATGAATGTATTTGTAATATTTTGAAGTAGTTCTGTTATCACAATGGTATAGAGATTTAAAAAGGGCATTCAAACTCCAACAAACCATTGGATCCAAACTAGGCTGTTTGTTTATGGAAAACTTATGGTGGTACACACAATGTAAGTCTTAACTAAAGGAGGATGCAGGTAACTTTGCATGGATTTTCAAACCTCCCTAACCCAACCTTACATAACTTAACCTGACCTAATTTAACCCAGCCTAATCAATGGATATAAGTAGTTGTAACAATTGGAAAACGAGCCTTGTTGAAGGAAATAACCATATCCAGAAGACGATGTACTTGTCAACTTAATTGGCATATTTAATGTACATTATTATACTGGTATACTGTAAATGGGTCTGAAGTTCCATCTGAAAAAGAATATCTTGATACTGTATACAATTTCAACTTGCCACTATTAATAGGGATGTATTAATGCACAAATTTGAATTAACTTTGTGCACTTTTGTTTGTAAATTCATCACTTAAATTTTGTAATTGCTACAAATGGAGAACAGAGTTAAGGTTCGTTGCCTTCTTGTACTTCACAGCATTGATTGGTACCATATAGGGGTCTGTACTAGTTATTCAGCTAAATCGGGCCTTTGATTCCAGACTAGTCATGATGCCTATTACAAATTGTCAGCATCTTGCTAATAAGCAATGTCTTTCTTTTTTTTGTACAGTACTAATAAAAGTTTGCTTTTAGATGCTGTTGCAAACTATACTATAATAATTGTAAATCTCTTCAGACTTGCTGAAAAAGGCTGAACATATATTTGATGCTTCATGCTGATCCTAAATATAGAAGACTTAAGTGATATAGAAATCTTCATCGTACAGTACTCTACTGTACAGTTTAATATATCCAAAGATTATTTCTAGAAAAGTTTCAAAATCATAACATTGCAAGGCAAGATTTTTTGAAGTTACTTGATTCAAACCTATCTAGATAACTAGTAATGGTCAGGCATATAAATTTTCTACATTATTCATTTACCCTCTTGATGCAAAATTTTACCATGAGATTGGGGAAAAGTTGGCAGCATCTGAAATAATAGGATTACTGTACAGAGAACGTGTACATCACGGTAAAACACACAAATTAAAAGTAGTGCATTTGAAGATTGTCCTTGTCCTTTCTGGAAAAATATGTAGGATATCACATAATGTATACTGTATTGTACATGTAAAATGCTATTGTCTGGTTCTAGATATGCACAACAAAAAGATTTGCAGTAGTAAAAAAAAGTATGGTAGGACATGCAAGATGTAATAAACTTGATACAAAATGGAGATGGTATTCACACAATTGGAGAACACTTAAAAAGTCAGACCCACAGATTTTCACCGTCCTGTTGACCAATATAAAAAGTACACTTGATGGGAAAAGTGAATAATTTTTCATTTAATTTTTATTCAAAAGAATGTACAAAGAACATAGTAATGTACAATTGTTGAGACTGGAGTTGTACATGGTAATAAAGCCACTATTACCCAAAGCATTTTTGTGCAAAACTTGAAACAATTTAGGAAACCAAATCTAAAGGTGTGAAGGGACAACTGGAAAAGTTCCAGCAGGGAATACCATATCAGCCGGGTAGTAATAAATGTGGGACTGCAGGACATTGCAAGCAACAGTTGCAGAACAAATTATTCCTTAGACAAGCCTGGCCTTTGTGTTGGGCTTGAAGTTGAGATCTTTAAATAGACTACGGGTAAAGGGCATCCTGCTTAACCCTGGCTTGTCTTCATTGGATATCTCTAGTTGCACAACTGCTCAATTTATAATAGGCTCAAAATACTGTACATTGACAATATATTTGCAATACAGTAACAATGAAATGCTAAACAGTATAGTACAGTATAAGCCTTTGATGTTTCATAGATGCAGACACAGAAGTATAAATTTGCCATAAAACCATATTAAAACTAGAGTACAGTACTGTAATACCTTTTTAAAGTTTAATACCTTGTTCAGTGTGACTGTCATTGGTGCACTTCAAATGCTGTACAGTACTGTAAACTTCACCAATACCCAGTTTGTTACTTTTCAGATATAGTACCCTGAACTCTGAAATGTAATTAAAATGTTCTAACTAATGCATCCTTTAACCCATTCATTGTACATTTAAACATCAAAATTGGTGAATCTATTTGAAAAGTGCACTTTAAACATTAAGATTGAAATTGGGAAAATGCTCCGAAGCTTGAATGTCCTCGGTAGTTGTGTACAGTAGTGTGCAAAAGCATTCGGAAATGAGGGAATGACTGCTGCATGGAATATTTTCACACAATGTTTTAGGATGGGCTGTAAACAGGACTTCTCCCAGCTACTGCTCACATGAAACTTAAATTATAATGCAACATTTGAACAAAGTTGCAAAATGAACCTAATCAGTCTGTCACCATTAACACCCAGGCTTGATTCAGCTCTGAACACCAGCTTTTTAACTCTGGGACAGAAGTTGATGTATAAAAAATGTACTAATTATGAATCTGGTAAATAGTTGGTTTTTGCAGCAAAATGATTTAAATGTGAAGTACAGTACAATGTACAGTTTACAGATTTGAAAATTAAATTATCAGTATCGTTGTAGAGCACAGCTATTTCTAGTCAACATTCTCAGAATTTCTCTTAATTTATACAAATTTGTTGCTAGATTGTTTTCCTTTATTCTAAAATTGTCTAGTTAGTGGAATACTACAATAGTAAGAGTTTAATGGTAAACATAATGATACACTTGTATTTGTATTGTTACAATATTTAATATATATTGTACTTGCAGGTGGTGTCGTTCATCTTAATTGGTGTTGCCGCGGCAGCTAAGGCAGCATCATTTGTCACCTCCCTCTCACTTGTATCTGGAATAATTGCCTGTGGAGTCTTCCTGTTGCTCATCTCCATTGTGGGTCTTATTGGAGCAAGCAAGCATCACCAGGTAAATTCTCCATAGGCCAGGAATAGTATTTAATTATTACCAGAAAGGTTGGTTAATTGAATTTGAGCCCTACTGGTTGAATTTAACACAAGGTACTTACAGTATTAGGGAAATTTATTTAAATTTATTGTATTTAGAGTACTGTATATACATTAACAGCTAAATTAGTTGAACCAAAAAAAATAGGCCTAGTAATTTTTTATTGTAGTATAGAATTTAAGTTACTTGAAGCAGTTGAGCTCAGCCATGGAGTAAGGTTGCCTGTATCAGACATGTGAGTGACCACTAGTGCATAAATAAAACTTAAATTTGATATACCAAAAAAAAAAGTGCACCTGGAACTCTTAAACTACTGTACTTCAGTAACATAAAGTATTAAAATACAGTATAAAAACTGCTTCCAAATTGACATTTATTTTACATGTGTGAATGTTTAGTGTGAAGTGCATAGGACAACACTTTGTCAAATGCAAGAGGTTGTCATATTTATTTTCCTTTTATTTTCAGGGAGATTGCTTGAAAATAAGTGGCTGGGGCATTAATCTTAAGTGTCTTGTCTCCTCAAATGTCTTGTGTAATAATTTGTTGCAGAACTCTTGTGGTAGCATAACATTTTATTTGTGCTCATTTTTTCTTTTTCAGGTTATGCTCTTCTTCTACATGATTGTTCTGTTTATAATCTTCATCATCCAGTTTTCTGTGGCATGTGCTTGCTTAGCCATTAATGAAAATCAGGAAAAGTTGGTTGCCTCGAAGGTAAGTAATGCAGATAGTTGTGGTAATATGAATGATTAAATTTATTGAATCGTTAGACATTGAATATTAAGTATTGTTTAATTCATCTTTCTGAATAATAAACATTTTAGTATACATGTTGAATGTCTAATACAGTTGCCCTAGCGAATCATTCCCTTGACACTTAAATCTTAGCAATGTGTGTGTGTGATGAAGTTGGTAATGAATAAACAACCTGGCTCATGGAAGGGAAGTAGAGTAAATAGTAAATGTCTTGTGTTTACATAAAGGGTGAAGGCTCTTCAGTCAGTTAACCTCTTTAGTTGATCCTTTGGGTGGGGAGAGAAATATTGTGCATACATTAAAGGATTGTCCAATGTATCTTGGCAATTCATGAGGGATGCTGTCTATGGAAAAACCTTGGCACATGTGAATTCACAAATAATATACTTCAGATTTTATTAAGAAAAGAAAAGGGTATTCCAAGCCCTTAAAAATCTTATTTTTTTTTATGTTCGCCTCGATTAAACATCTATTTCGGTGGTTCCCAACTTTCTTGGTAATATCTGTATTTTGTAATATTGTACTAAAATTACCCCAAAGAGAGCATTGTGACCCACCGGTTGGGAACGCTAGGGATCAGTCGGTGATCTAACGGAACGTTATTGCTCGTGCCACTACCCAACTACACATGTATACTGACAACGTAGGTTTGTCTGACCAATGATGTAGATGACAAAAAATTGCTTTGTCTTCATGGGAGCATCATTAGATGCAGCGAGTATTGCAGAAGGTTTTGTGCCACAATACAATAATAAACTGGTAGTAAAATGTACTTCTAGCACACAATCACTGTTATCTAAAAATTCTATACATGAAATACATGGAAACTAGCACCACCCTATAAATGCTTAACTATGCTTGTCTTGGGATTTTTCTGGGGGTAAAATGTCCACCTTGCAAACAGTGAAAATTCCATACAAATATTGAAGTTGTGTACATTTAGGGCTCACAGAAGAATAGTACAGGATTAAAATATGAAATGGTATTTCATTTATTTTGCAAATTTATAATATTCACCTGTAAATTAGTTGTAGAAATGTGCAATGTGAGATGTATTTGCTGTGTTAGAAAGTTTAGTATGGAATAGCAATGTCAAGGAAATGTGCAAAAGTTGATTAATTAGAGATTGGGGAAATGCACAGTATATAGATGTTGTATTGAACTAATGGATGATAAAGGTGAAGTGTTTTAGGGAATTTCAGGGTATGGAAGAGAGGTGATGTGTGGATATGGTATGCATGAGGAAGCTGAAGAACGTGGGGTTGAATGTGAATGCAGTGCAGAGAGGTAGGGAGCGAGTATACACTGCACACTGCTTAAAGGGAGTTATAGAACACAACCCTTATCTGACCCATCCAAAATTCTGCTGCATCAACACTTGCTTAATTTGCTCAATTCAAATTAATTTTTTGTCTGGAAACAATGAAATGTATACTTCTTTTAATATTCAAATGTGCACAATTTTTTAATAAGCAATATAATTGCCAAATGAAGTGACCATTATATAAATTTGCATTGTCATTAGTGCGACCTCACCCGAATACACTAATTGTGACTGGACTTGTACATAGTGGTTTTGCTTTTTGATTTTTACTTTAAATGATAAAAAAAATCATTGTACACATAAAGACCACCATTTATATAGAAATATTTTTAAATAGTGGCAGTATAGTGTATTTAAAGGAAAGCCAGACCAAATTCCTGTAAAATAGTTTTCATCAAATTTGTATTCTTTATCTTATTATAAAAGATAATTATTAAATATATTGTAATGCATTTATTTCATAAATGTTTTACCGAGCTTGTACTGTTCTATAAATTGCACAAGAGTTGAAAATTCTGGTAATTATAGTCCTGATGAGCTAGTGCACATGTACAGCTTGTTCATGTACAGTATTCTCCCTGCCTTATTCATGTACAGTATTCTCCCTGCCTTATGTACAGTATTCTCCCTGCCTTATTCATGTACAGTATTCTCCCTGCCTTATTCATGTACAGTATTCTCCCTGCCTTATTCATGTACAGTATTCTCCCTGCCTTATTCATGTACAGTATTCTCCCTGCCTTATTCATGTACAGTATTCTCCCTGCCTTATTCATGTACAGTATTCTCCCTACCGTCTTTCCACACCTAGAAAAATGGTCCAGAACCACCACTAGCAGTTTTATAGTCCCCCTCAAATGATGGATCTGACCTATGAGGGCTAGACTGTCACTATTACTTGACACTGACATTGTAATTCTCAAAGTACAGTTTTAAGTCTTGCTCATTCTCAGTATTACTCATTTTCTACCATTGTACTCGCCTAGTTGTGCTTATGAGGGTCGAGCTTCGGCTCTTTGGTCCCGCCTCTTGACCAACAGGTTTACAGATTACTGAGCCTACCGAGCTCTATCATATCTACATTTGAAACTGCATGGAGTCTGCCTCCTCCACATCACTGCCTAACGTATTCCATCTGTTAACTACTGACACTGAAAGTTCTTTCTAACGTCCCTGTGGCTCATTTGGGTACTCTGTTTCCATGTGTGCCCTTGTTCGCGTACCACCCGTGTGGTACACGACCATGTGGTACTGTAGGCCTGTAGTTTCCTCATACTTGGTCTTGCAGGAAGTATCCAAAAGAACTTGCACAGAAAGTCATACACTAGTCTTGCTGTGTTTTCTTGCCACCACCATTGTCAGTATCAACCTCCTGTTCTCGTGAAACTTTACCTTCTCCTTTTAACTTTACCCTGAATCATGTCCTGCTCTAATCACTGCTGCATTGTCTGTATTTTTCACCACCCTTGGTAAGCATTTTGAAGAAGAGTATTAAAGCCTTTGTTCATAGTAATCAACTTCATTGTCATTGTAGTTTTTACGATATTAGTTTTACGTGGAAACTATATAGTATTAGTCTACGAATTGGTTTTATTCACTACATCTGTGCAATATCACACCAATTTAAATATCTGCCAAATATGCAATCTGCACAATTGCCAAGACATGACTTGGGTTATCAATAGTATCCACTTTGCCACAGGAATGGCTCGATCATCAGTTAGCTGTCGTGTATATTTTAAATGACAACTCGAAGGAAGCACTTTTACAACTGGTCATATGATGCAGTTGTAATGGTAGGCTTGGGCACTACTATGGTTGGCTTGCTGGCATGTGATTGATGAAGCTGTGAAAGTACTGTTTCTTACCTCTTGATAAAAATTTTTGTCAGACTGGTAAATCATATTACAGTATTAGTTACTGATAACTGACAATTAATAAACTAAAAAAAATGATTTTCATGTAAACTAAACTTAATTATCAATATTCATATCGATATGAGAACATTATTCGGTATTGCAAGCAAGACTAAAGCAACACATGAATCCTATTTGCTTTCATGATTATGGTTTGATAAATTATACAGTACATTGCAAACTAATAAATTTCAGGATGAATCTTAAAGCCTTGTATGATTTTCATGTTTAACTCATCTTGACATCTTTTTCAGGGTTGGGCTATTGCTGGGAATGACACTAGACAGGATGCACAAACATTCTTTGGCTGCTGTGGATATTTGAGTGAACTGGGAAACGAAACGACGTCTATGGACCACCCCAGCTGTGTAGCGGTAACTTTTGTTTTTCCAATTGTTTTAAGTGCAGTAACATTCCTCACTTGGTGTGAGCGTTCATTGGAAAATTCTGTAAATTGCCACAGAAGCCCACAGCATATCCAATGTTTTGTTTGCACCTGCAGAAATGAGTACCTGTAATTTTAATCTTAATTGGGCATAGTAATTTCTTTGGTCAATTATTATACTTTGTATTTACTTGAAAGTGGAATTAAAGTATTTTATCTCCTTTGTATGTGTACCTTAACATTTAATTTGTTCAGATTAAAAAAGTTTTTTGTTTTTTACCATTAAGCTTTAGATTAGGTATTTGAAGTTTTCTCTCCTCCCACTTACATTTTCATGCAGTGGTGCAAAAAATGTATGTGATTTACCTCTGTTATAAGGTACATTATGTAAAGGCCTCGGTTTCTAATCGTTTATTTACGTGTAAGCAGCGTCTCTTGCTCGGTGTGAGTGGAGATGTCGTATTATGTATCAATTTAACTTCTGGTGCTAGTCATCCAGCTCGTTAATTTGGCAATATGCCTTTCGGCGTAAATACATTTGTAAAAGTTTGATAATTATGAACACAATAGCTAGTTTGAAATTCCCAGTAGGCATTCAAGGATTTTTCTTGAAAGTTTGTGTGATATCTTCACTGATCTATTATATAAACTTGCAACACTTCTATGACTATAATAGAAAGTCTCCCTTTTAGAAATTGTGCAGTGTAGTCTAGTGGCAGCCACTTCAAGTTTTTGTGTGAAGATGCCTTCAGTAATTTCCATCTATCCAGTAATTCCATCTATCATACTATCATGCAAGAGGAGCCACACATCTATGGATCATCCAATAAAATCGGCAGACTTCTAGATGTTACTACTGCTCGGCTAGATGCTTTCATATTGACTTAACCTACAATAGTTAATACCAAAATCTGATTTTCCTATTGATATAAAATTTTAGCTTTGGGGACTCATTTTACAGCCAGTAGCTACTGAAGATTAATGTGAAGCCGACATTTCTTTTATATTGAATTTCGGGGAGAAACTTCTGATTGTGCACTCTAGGGGTTGGTGCTATAGATACACAAGGACTGCATTTGGTAATTTTTAATGATGGGAATTCTGGAATTAGAAATGGGTAATTACACACTGAACACTGCCAAGTAGGGCCTCTAGCAAGCTAACTTGTGCAGGTAATTAGGATATAGTAAGACTTGGAGGAAATAGATAAGGGTGGAGGAAAGGAGTGAGGATTGTGGTGTGGTGACCTTTAGGGAGCAGTTATCTGGTGATTGTGAAGCTAGTGTTCCATCCATAAAATAAGATTGCTTCTTCCTATAATGATGAGCTGTGTTCACTCTTAATCCTGTTTGGCCTTGGATCTCCTGTTTAAATAACCTGTTGGGAAGTTGAACAAACTAGAATTTTAACTGTTAGTATTGCATTTATAACAGTGCCAATGATATCTCTGGCATTTAAACTGTGATCTCTACTCAATAGAGTTTGTGATTAAAAGTTTTGAATTGTGTTGTGGCAGCAAAATGTATACATCTCCTTAGTCATTAATCATAATGCTTGCCAATTATGTCCACAGGTGAAAATGAAGAAAGGTGGAACTTGTTGCGATAAAGGTGTTGATGATCCCCACTGCTGCAGGGGTGGAAACACTACTACTTGTCACTGTGAAACTTGTGATGGGCCAATCCAGGCTGCCATGTTCAGAGGCTTTAATCTGGTCGGTGGCATAGGCCTATTCTTCTCATTTACCGAAGTAAGTTTCCTGCTGCTGCTTCTCCAATGATTTTCTTGTATGAGTTTTTCAAGTGTACAAGATATTTGAAGAATATTAATGTTTCCTAATCCCTAAAATAATTACTTGTATTGACTTCGATGGAAACTTAAACAATCTGGTTAAAAATTTAGTAAAGAATTGCTAATTAAGCATACTGGCTTAACCCCTTATAGTTACAGTATTTGGTTACTAATTTCAAATTCATATTGTAATAGCTAATGGTTAAAGAATCCATATTTTATGGGTTAGGGATAATTGATAATTCAAATAATTTTAATAACCTCTATTAAAATACTTTTCATTGCTGTAATAATATTTTGCCACTTTGTTTTCAGCCATTTTGAAGATCTATAACAAATTTATTTATGGAGAAATCACATTATCGTGATACATCAATGAGAAAATCCACAGGAGCCGTGATGAGGGTTTGAACCTATGCACTCTTATAGCGTTCTTAGATGCATGTAGACTACACCACGACATGGTCGGGTTTTTTAACTATGTTGTGGCGTAGTCGTCGAGAGCGTGCATCTGGGAACACCTAGCGCATAGGTTCAAACCCTCATCACCGCTTGTGGAAAATCATGAATTTTCTTTATTTCCTCATTGCTTATTTTTCACTTCCAGTTGGGTAATTCCTGCTTTGGTTAACAAATTAATATTAAGTTCATTTCTGCAAATTACCCTTTAAATTTGTTACTACATTATATATTAATAAGGTCTTTGTAGCATGTATGAATGTCAAAGTTTACAAAATATGACAGTACTTACAAATGCAGTAACTCTTGATAATTGAACTCGCAAATTGCGTAATTGGTGGTTAAATTGGCACATGCAGCTCATGATTCATGTTGATTCATACTGGTGGTGGCTTTTAACCTTTAACATGTGGGTATCATCAAAGGTAACTCTGCCTGTCAGAAAAAATATTTCTTGGAAAATACATTTGCATGCAAAAAGTAAGGAAAATGGAAAGACATTAAAGTCTCTTTCTGGTTTTATGCCCATAGTTGAATGGGAAGTATCCATGTAGATACATAGGGGCAAGGGGTCTGATGTTAAGTTATATGGATGTCATGTCTGCTGTTTGACTTCAGTTGTGTGGAATAACTTGATTTATGCACACAGTTAAGAGTACTGTATATAGGCCTCCAATGCAATGTGTACACTTATATTGCATATAAATCTGTTCTTGGCACAGCTCAGTGTAGTGCACATTCCTTTGATGCTTTTGTCAGGGAGTGTTGTCCAGAGAAACTCTAATGAAATGCTGGCGGAAAGGACAGAGTATGATGTGATGATTCAAACTACTGATGCACAATGACCTGTTTGCATAGCAAGCCATTGGAAATTATAACAGAATTTTGAATGGGTTTGTTAACCTCATTACATCCATGTAGATGTGTTTTAACCACATTTACATTAAAAAAAAAAAAGCGGCAACTAAAATAAACATGCAACTGCATTACTCCTAGAATCTATATGATGGTAACCACACTTTAAGGGATAAAATATAAAAGTTCGATTAATTTGAGTTTCAACATTTCTTGTGATTTCCAGCCCCCATATTGGGTTTGCTGCTTATGTTCTATTAAAATGGGGAAAACTGTTAATGCCAGTGGAAGCTCAGAATAAGATTGCCATAACCTTCATATTATATGGAACCTGCTATACTACAATTTGAATCATTATAATCGCCACAACATATAGTAGAAATTTTCTGAAACTGCATATTATGTTGTTTATCACATAAAATACATTATGTTCAACTAAAGCTTGCATAGTTCCCCCTCCCCCCTTTACCTTGTCCTGATTAAGTATAGATAGATCTGCAGTCCCCTTCCCGCCCCCCTCCCCCTTTTGATTAAAACATTAATGGAAATGGAACATTAAAACCACATTCCTACAGGCAACATTTTAGACAAATTTTTGGAAAAGAAAAACCTTCATAGTTAGTCGGACCTTAATATATTTTCATAAAATCCATTTCCTCTTCATTTGCACCAAGGGAATATTTCGGTAAATTTGGCTGTGGCCTGGATGGGGTGTTTTCAGTTTATAATGCATGTCAGTGACTACTGTAATGTCAAGATTCTTGGTCTTGTCTGCAAAGTTCATTAATTTCTTAGTGTTTCATCTTTGTTGATATTAGCTCTTTGGAGGGTTAAAGTAATTTATAATGAAATGATTCCCCTCCCCCCCTGTAATGTTGCATTTCTAAATCAATGTTCTGTCTTGACATTTCGGTAATTACAGTATTGTGCTATAAGCTATATTGGTACAAGGTAATTGATGAACAAGTATGACTGGTTACTGTATGGTTAATATTGTCCTCTTAAAATACTCTATTGATTAGTGTAATTTAATTCTGGGCAACAAGCTTATGGGAAATATCTAACTTGGCTAAAAAGATGTTTATTTTATTTAATAACCATATCAAACACTTTTATTGTGTTCAAGTGTTTGCTTCTGCACCCCTCAGTTCCTTGGTGTGTGGCTCACGGTGCGGTACAGGAATCAGCGGGATCCACGTGCTAACCCATCAGCCTTCCTGTAGAGTGGTGGGGTGCCTTAAGCCCTTGCTCTCTACTCACTAACATATCAGGTAGCACGGGGTGTAGTGTGCTTGGTGGTTGGTACTCTCTTGCTTCTCTGTTGGCTTTGATTTTTAAATGCTGCTTAATGGGTGGTTTGCATGATAAATACAGTATTATTAAACTGCATGAATATACCAAGTGTTGGGCTTAATAATTAGATATCGGTCTTTATTATCTTGGGACTTTGATTTTGTTGAAGTGTGTATTTAGATGTATATTTTGTTTTATTGCATGTATACTCTTTTAAATATTCTCTTTTTCAGAGAAATTTTTAAATCATAAGTTAGTGCACATTAAAGTGGATAGAAAGTTATGTCAACAGGGATACACTCTTGGGCATATTCAGAGTGGGGAGCAATTTTATAATTTGGGTTATGAAGCGTTACTTCTGCAGTTGGTATGATGGCTGGAGTGTGGCTTGGTCAGTCATGTTGGTAATGTGATGCACTTATATTTTAAAGGACTAAAGACAATACATTGTAAAGTATATACAAATTTACTTGGAGTGCTTTTGGCATGCATGAAACTTTTATGATTGAAATAATAAGACTTTAGTTAATGGCAATGGTTGAATGTAATCTTACCCAACTTCCTCTTCTCAATCCACTCTCTTATGCTGTTATAGTCGAAGATTGCCTGAATTACACAGATAAATGGCACCAGTGATTTTGTGGTACCAGATGAATAATGCCCTTCCCTTAAGCTTGCCCTAGGTACAGTTTTTTGTTACCTAATACTCTTAAAAATAATTCTGTGCTGGTTCTGTGCTCCTTAAATCCCACTTACAGATATGCAGTTAATATTGATCCAAATTCTAAAGATTCCATGCTGCCGAGTCTTTCACGGCTGTGAAGTTGTCCATTTTTACTGCACAGTATTGGATTGCTAGCACATTTGATTTCTAAATGGTGGATAATATCTTCATGGCATGTTCCTTTTCGTATGTCTTGGTTCTACATTTTGCTAACTGCAAAAATGTTGGGCACTTCTAGCTCATTATATGCATGGTGCATCAAATTTGTTAACCCTTACTTGAAACATGACCACCTTTGTAATGGGAGGCTTGCATGTTGCAAAGATTGGAGGTCAGTGGAGTAGTTGAAGCCTCTCCTGTCCAAATGATATAAAAGTCAGCTGAATCTTTGAGGTAAAAGTTCTGTGATCTTATTAGGCCGTAGAATGCTTTCCACTCATTTGATCTTGTTAGGCAGTAGAGCCATAATGGTTAAACTGAAAGGTCAAATGAATGATGTACATACAGTATTTCACTGTGCACCCAAATAATATCCTAATTAAATTAAAGATTTTGGTATGAACATTGTTGGTATTTAATTAAACTTCCTGGTAGTTGACTTTGCATTATGACTAACATCTTGTGCACTATCTGGTATGTTGTCAATGGGTTTGTATAGGCTAATATGATAATATAAAAGGATTATTAGAATTTTTGGCCAGAACTTCACTATCTCCGTCGACTGCTTTCATCACTCATTCCCTGTACATGCATGTGCTGGGGACTTGACTCTGTAACTCTTTCAGGTGTATCCATAGAAATTTTCTTTACAAAGGCATGTTTATTAGTTGGATAAGTTAATGGTATAAGTCCTTTATTGACAGGCTTACATGCTTTACTTTAAATGCACATATGCTTAATGTTTTCTCATGGCAGTGGTAAGACAGTTGTCATAATGTTTGTATACAGTAACAGATATATTTTGCCATTGTTGTGGGTATACCTAGTGACTGCAGTATGCAGTTAAAAGTATGTCAATTCTCCTTGGTATCCTCAGTATTATATATATAGCTGTCCTGGCTAAACATTCTATTGCTAATAACTTTCTTGGTATTACTATAGAATTATTGATGCACCCTAAACACCCCATCTCCCAAGAAGTTGCATGTGAAGGGTGTTCTTTAAAACAATTTTTTACTCGTGGGTGAGTGAAAGTATTTAGTGAATGAAGAAACTTGGTGCATGATATGAATAGTAGTGCTGTATATCAAACTATGCACACAAGTTTTTAAATTTAATAAGTGTAGACTAATTTTGTCGTGATTGCTGCAAGTGATTATGGTATGACTATTGATAGTATTGTATAAAGTTGGGTGGACAGCACAGTGAAAGCAAGTGGGAATGATTTATTTATTTATTTATTTTTTTGGCTTGTAAATGGTATACCATACATTTAATGAATTAGCAAAGGTGCTGATGTGTCTAATTTTCTTTTGTGATGTCATTTTCCCGATGATGCTCAAGGGTGGAAGGTGATGGTAAAGGACAGGGTTCACTGAATAGTTTTAGTATCTTTTATTACACTTTTCTGGTAAAGTTGCACCCATTGCCTAAAAGTGGAAAATAGGATAACAATAAAAGGCATAAATTTCACAATTTAATTATTTTTTTCAGATTGTTGGTTTCTTCATAGCTAAAGAGTACCGTTATCAAATAGACCCCAGAGCAAACATACAAAGTCTTCTTCGACAATGAGAATTTGCAAATTGAATCTGAGGAACAAATACAGTACATCACTACTAATTTAGAAAGGTATCCAGTTAGTTGTATTCTTGTAATTAGTGATAAACTGGTGTTTTGGGTTATATTGCCTGTGTGCAAAGTGTCATAAGGGAGGTAAATAAAGATCCCCCCATATTTTTTTCTAATCAACCCTGTTTTAGAATTTTTGTAGTTATACTCTTCCATGATTGATTTAGAAAAGTGGTGAATTGTGGAGTATGAGTGTTTCCAGTGGATAGAAAGTATGTATGCAAGCAGTTTCAGAATGTAAGGCATAGTTATTTTCATAGCTGAATAGTGTTAAAAATTTTGTGTGGATTAATTTCTCATCAGTGAGGTATTTTTGGTAGCCTACAAAAAAATATTTATGTGCAATGTATAAGTACCTCTGATAATTATTTATTACTGAAGTATTGAAGTGTACTTTGTTTTTCATCATAAATATATCTTTATGCATTTACTTTATAAGCTGCAATAATAATAATTACTAAACGTGCATTTTTCTCGAGTGACAAAATTTCTTTAACCGACTGTGTTGGCTTGACATGAAATTTATGCAGGTGCACTGTAGTAGCATTAAGATTAGTTAATGGTGTGGTGATTCAGAAGATACATAATGTTCATGTAAAACATTATTGAAAGCGACTGTTTAGAGTCGAGCTGGAGACAGTCACCAGCTGTGCGTTATGTAACTAGTCTTACTTGTACCACTGTATACCTCTTTCCAGTGCCACATGTTTAAAGTTAAATTATTAATTTGCACAGCGTAATTATGTCCTCTGTTCTTTCCTGTGTTATTTGTTCTTGGTATTGGAACATGTTTGATCTCTCAAATTGTTTGAACTACTGGTAATGATGTGCACCGAGGATGTGTCGAGCGGTTTTTTTCACTCCTTATATTCTAGCTATGTTGTTTCACTGGTTTAGCCTTCTCTTATGTCTAATGTCTGTCTATAAAAGTTGAAAGTGGCTGTTCTTTGCAGAATACCAAGCTGCTCAGTCTGTCATTGGCTTACAGCACTGGTAGAATACATATACTTTAACATTTTAAAAGGTGCCATTATTACCATGTTTGGACTAAAGTTTGATTTCATTGATTATGGTAATTTTTTTTGCCTTTATTTGGTTGTTACTTTAAATGTTGAATTAATCATGACCATAAAATTGCCAATGTTAACCTTTTATTTTATATAATTTGTTAAAGTATATAAATTCACCTGTACTGTTTTCATACAATGCAAACAAACAAATGTAGTTTATCATGGCAATACATGCTTGAAAATACACAGTAAGTTAATAACTGACTTAAAGTAAATTTGATACATATTGATGAATATTTGGTAATCCATTTGCTTATTACAGTATATACTGTACTATTAAAACATTGCTTAAAAAATGCATACTGGATCAAAGATTGTGCCTAATCGATATTAAAATTTGTTAAATAAATTTGTAGTATATTTAAAGTTCATGTGACCTTGAGAGTATTGTGGCAAGATCTTTAGACTACTTTAAGTAACGGTATGCTATAAATTTTGTACCAGGAAGTGAATGGTTTTTGTTTTCAGAAGAATCTTAAATCTAAGTTTAACAACTTCCATTGTATATTGTGGCAGATAGTTGTTCAAACTAATTAGTATATCTTGGGCTGTGCTCGTCAAACTTCTTCCTTCAATGGGATAGTTTATCTTGGTAAGTTCAGGCATGAGCAATTCTTAAACATACAGCAGGCTAATAACTTGACAATGTGATTGGTTTAGGTTTTAGTTTGTTTGCTCATGCTGCCACCATTACATTCCTTAAACACATATCATATACTGTACTGTACTTCACCAAGTTTGGTTTGTTAAAGCTCCTATGATGCAGTTTAGATATTACCTGTATTGATCAACCCAGGTAGACAACACTGTTGTTGATTTGTGTTTAGGAATTTAGTAAGATAAAGATCGAAAAGATCTTTTTCTGAAAATACTTTGTCTTCAGGTTTGCAATGTTATACATTGCAAACACCCAGTGAGCATTACATGTTTACTTGAAAATAATGTTATTAGACAATCAAGTTCTACATTTGGTAATATGCTTAGAATGGTATGTTAAGTATATTTTAAATACAGTATGTAACATATGCTTTCCAAGGTAGTTTGATATAAGCTTTCAGGGTAGTTGTTGTGGGAGTTTGTTTTTCTAGTTTGTCATGGTAGCTTAAAAAAAATCGTCCTTGCTCTTTTGTTTAAGATAACTGACTAAATTTGAACAAGAATTTAGGTATGTCTTCAGTAAAATTGTAATAAATCTGTTTTATTCAAGTGTTTAAAGTATCTGCTTTTAAATTGAACTGCATTTCTTACTTTTAAAGTGCTACATTTTTATGGATATGTCTAGTCATTATGGTTCACTTGTTTTTTGTTTTTTGAAGCCACATGAACAATTTAATAAACTAAATTATGATAATTTTTCTTATTGTCAACATTTATCACCCTGTGCAAGGTGTAAATTAAAAGGTCTCTCGAAATCCTCCAGGTGTTAGGTATAAGATTTATGGGCACTTTTCCAAGAGTTAGTGGCACCAACGCGTGAACAGCCACACAGTTCCCCGCTTCCTGTTATGGCGGCAGGAGGAAGGCCACCAGGATAGGTAAATTATATGCAATGGTTTCTTGTGCACTGCCTGTCAGTGGTAGCTCCATATTGTCTTGTACCTCCTCCCATAGGCCATCTTTGAAATTACCAGGAGATAACTATTAGAATATCCTCTTCTACCTAATGTGGCAGTGCAAGAGTCGAATATGTCCCATTGTGTTCGCTGTGTATGGAGACCTGTACATTTCCTGAAACCACACACTTTGGTGGATGGGGGGTTAGATGAGTTGCTGGTTTATCTAAACAGATCTGCTAGTCTGATTAGCACTGCCTAGTCAGACATCTGGTCTAATGGGCATTGTGGGGATGGTATCCATAATGGTCCCCTAGAATGCCTCTCAGCCACTCAATGGTTAGCCACATGTTTCTCCTTGAGGAGGAGAAATGTTGCCTCTCATGCGTGGGTCCACAGTTAGACCTATACAATCCAGGTGAATGGAAGAAATGTTTCTCCTTTGCCCACTTGAGTGAGCAACAGTCTGTGTTGGGAGATTGGGGTCCATAGCTCCAGCTGTGATGGGCCCAGACCAGACTGTCTACCTCTGGTTCTTCTACTCTTCACTTGGCTGGGTTGGTTTTTAAGAGTTCCTAGTGATCCATATCATGATTACTATGGCACCTATTGCTCACTTTGTTCTGGGAGGCCTGAGGCGATGTCCCCGCCATAAACTGAGCATGTTTCCTGCACTGACTACAATATTTCAGGACTCTACCCTGATGACTCTCACTGACACCATATTCTGTAGATGCTAGTCAGAGATGCAAGGAAATTCTCATGGAATGCATTCAAAGTAGTTGTTGAACTCTCTCCCATTACAGCTTTAAGGAAAAAATATTAACTTTGAGAAATGAGTTAGTGCTGCAGATATAAATAACTAGGAGGATGGTTATCTTGAGATGCTTTCGGGGCTTTTAGTGTCCCCGCGGCCCGGTCCTCGACCAGGCCCTCCACCCCCAGGAAGCAGCCCGTGACAGCTGACTAACTCCCAGGTACCTATTTACTGCTAGGTAACAGGGGCGTTCAGGGTGAAAGAAACTTTTGCCCATTTGTTTCTGCCTCGTGCGGGAATCAAACCCGCGCCACAGAATTAAGAGTCCTGCGTGCTATCCACCAGGCTACGAGGCCCCCTCGTACAGCCCTAAATCTCATTGGCCTGTAGGTAAATACAGTATTTGCTGGTGACCATTTTCAGCCAAGGAGTTTACTGTTAACTTCCTGACATGCTTGCTTTTGATAATTTTTATTGGTGGTGCCTTCCAATTTTTAGGAAACGTGCCTAGTTTTATTAAGATTATTCTGGCATTATAAAACACAGAAAATGGCTCAAATAAAAATGAAAACTAGTAATAAAGGGTTAACCTCTTCAAATGTGCAAGTTGACCAGGGACAGTTTAAAGTCCTTCGTGTACATGGGGCTCACATTTGCTTCCTCAGGTCTTCAAGTAAACAGACCCCATCTTTTTGATACATAACCTTCCTGGTTTGGTGCCTTCATTTAATTACTTACTTGGGTGGGGGGGGGGGGGGGAACTTAAGCACCCATCTTTGATGTGAAAGCTGTACTGCATTTGAGAAGGTGACCATGGGTCATGCTGCAGCTTGTTGCCCACAGCATCGATTAATAATAAAAAATAACATTGTGATGGTGACAGTCCTTAAGTGTCAAAATTGTCTATGTACAAAGTTCAGCTGAATATCGGCAAACAATGTTGGTTATGATGATCACATGCATCATGAAATGGGACATGTTCCATTAGAAAATGAACTTGTGAAAAATGATTCATGTGCTTTAGTGACCAGGATTCTGATTATACCCACTCTAGCCATTACAGCTAGTTAACACTGTGTGTGTAGAGTATTGGGAGGCATTTAGCAGTGTCATGGTGGTGTCATCTGCTGGTAGTATGGAGCTACGATGTGCTTAGATGTTTTTACTACACCTACCAGAACTTCTTATTGGTTCATTATGGTGCATGAAAATGTAGTTATATGTATAATATGTATATACAATGTTATGACAGCAAAAATGTTTTATTGTTCAAATAATATACCGAGCCACATTAGTGACAAATGTTTGTACTTATGTTCTACGTACTTTTTGATACAAACACTGACATTGCCATGCATCATTACATTTGAATAAAACATTGGTAAAAACATTAATATATTTTTTGTTTATTTCTAAACACATGCAGCTGCAATTTCGTGTAAAACGTGAAAGCAAGGCTGAACTGTGATAACTGGTTACGAGATTATTACTGACCAGAACGGATTAAATTTTCATTGATACATGAATATTTAATTATTACACTATATATACATGTTAAATATAACAGCAAAATGGTGTGTGTTTATTGTTTTAAGTATGTAACATTGTGTACATATAAGTAACTAATGTATCCAATCATTCAAATGTTCCACACTTTATTATATGAATTCCTCAAATGAGACTTGAATAATATTACTGCATGCAAAAACCAGAGAAAAATCAATACATTGAAATATCTAAAAATATCTCTGCACCAACTATCACCCCATGGTGGGTACAGGGCAACCACCCTGGGCAATTGCTTTATGAATGCTTGTGAATCGTGATGTCATCACGCAACCCATCCTCGACTCAAGTCCATTATGTCCAGCGGTCAACCCCACAGACACTCGTAATTTTTTACACACTGTTCATTCAAAATGGGAGTTTTCTCAAATATAAGTCATTATAAAATATTTGCATATTGTCCATATATAGGTATAGGTTAGGTTAGGTGTTTAGGTTCTGTTGGCGATTATTTGTAGTACATGGGTGAAGCATTTACAGCGTTGTGGTTCGAACAAAATTTGTCAGTGAAGCACTTGTTCCGGAAGTATTCGGACGTCATCAGTCGAGTCGTGTGTAAACCGTTTTTCATTCATAAATGGGGTTTGGCGGGGTGCATGGAATCACTTTTGGGTCTGTTTGGAGGACGGGCTGCATCACGAGATTTAGGTGCTTCACCATGACCAAAGTCGGTCACAATTTTTATTTTATTTATTTTTTATAATATTCTTTGCATTTTGAATGTTTGTTTTTTACCATGGATTTTTAAAGTGCAATACTGTATTGGGCTGTCAATATTATTTGTATCATAGAATGTAAAGAATATTGGTTTACAGATATATATTTGTTACCAATATCAAAATTTAACCCATTAAGATTTCAACTTGGATTCAACAGTGCAGAAGTTGTTAAACACTGTGTATAATCTTGCTGAAGCCAACATACGAGTAATGAATACTCATACTCCTCCTAAGTAAAACTGAAAAAAGTAACACCTTAGTGGGTCAGCCAAAGTCTTGGGGCCTGTGCAGGAATATCTATGCAAAGGGAAAAAATTTAAAACAAATTTAACTGAAAAAATGTTAAATTCAGTTAAAATATTCTTTGAAAAATAAAACATAATTTTTACTGTTACATATAACGTGTGTATAGTATATTTACATTTTTGTTCATAACGAACCACCAAGGTGGTCTGGTGAGTCCAAACAGCACTGTGCCACTACGTGCTAATCAGCCAACAACACTACCTCACTTAGCGAAATTCCTCCTCCCAACATACTACACACCACTAGTTCTAGGCACAATGCTGTTATCAGAATCCTAGTCACTAAAACTTGTGGAAAATTATTAATTTTCAAGATAATTTTGTAAAGGAACATGAGCTGTTTCAGGATGCTTAGATGGACCAAACAATGGCAAGAGTGCTGACGCTGCCTGCCTAGTGCTGTGAACATCTTGAACAACATTGTTTTTCCACTGATATTTGAATATTGTAAGCAGTCTTTATCACAGTCAGGCTTGTCTATGATACCATCATGGCAAATTAATAGCAGTTACATAAGTATTTCATGTTTTTAAGAAATGCTGTGATCACAAGCTGAAGAGCAGCACTTGGCTCATGCAGCCATGCACCGGCCTCGATTGATCTCGATACAGCCTTCACATCTAGGAATCGTGCCTACCATGTTTTTTCCTTCAAAATGGTGTCTATTTACTGGAGCTCTGAGAAAGCCAATGTGAGCTCTGTGTACCTACAGGACTTGAAATCTTATGCAATACTTTTTTTTTTTTTTTTTAAATAGTGTATGCAGTGCAATCAGTTAAGCCAAAATCATATATATATTTATATAATATGCATTATATGAATGGAATTATTGCCCTAAAACGTCTAGTTTTTCAGTGTCTGAATTATGGTGATGGAAGGTGACGTTACGTAGGCTTTTTGACCAAGTCTTGAGTAGCCTACAAAGTAATGTATCATGTCAGGAGTTGTGGAGAAGTGAAGAAACTAAAGCAGGCATCATTAGTCTTTGTTATTAGAGCAAGTTTGCACTTAATTTTTTTTGGAAGAAACATGTACTGATCAGTGCGACTGTTTTGTAGCACGTACAATATATTATATAAGTGACTCCTGAATGACCTAATATAGTTACCAATACTATAATATATAAATATTTTCCATATTCTAGGACTGATACACACAAATCTTACCATAAAAGTCGGATATTTCTTTGAGAAATACTGTTAGTACACAACTCTGTTTGCTCTTCTTAATCTTGAAGTTAATTAACTTTTGTACTACTGTCCACTCTGGGGAGGGTGTAGTCAGTGCTTGATTTGTGAAGGAATTGCCGTGTTTTATTACTATCTAGAGAAGAGAAAAAATGGCCTTTCATATTACTAGTGTTTGTCATTACATCATGAAACCTCAGTGGGCAACTACTGTTTTTAATTATCTAATGCAAATCCAGATTATTAATGTATAACCCACTTTCACAGTATTTTCTGTTCAGAAGTCTTTAACAAGCATCAGGTTAGGGGCTAAAGATTTAACAAAACCAACATGAGGAAAAGTGAGGGAACTCATAGAAGTAAATCAAGTTTACATTAAAAATCACAATTATTATATTTCCTATTTTGGGAGGGTGGAGACACTTGGCCTTAGTGGGGGAACAGGAGAAGCTGGAGCCCTAGCTCTCTCCTCCCTCTTTACTCCAGGGTATATAAAGATGTTAACAACAGGTGGTCAAAAAACAAGCACAATGAAATAAATTTTTTAGTATTAACTGGTAACAAATATAAAACTCTAAACTGACAATACTATACAGTGACAAATACCAATCTGATAACAGTGCTTTAATAGCCTACAATGTGTGCCGAGTTGAGAACAGACTTAACTGAAGACGATGTTTTTTTTTTTTACCTGCAAGTAATTACAGGTAAAATTTTATTGGAGATATTCTATACAGTACTTAATATAGAATAACTTTACAGTACACAACTCTCAGCACTTTGTGCTATGTTAGCCCTTCAATGTACATACTAGTAAAATCCTGATCATTATTTAATTTTCATCAAAGCATCACTTTAAAAAATTATTATTTTGCTATAATCAATGACATACACAGTTCAAGTGGATGCTCATATGCTAGTAATTAAATATAACTGGATTCATATTTAACCTGCCATATAAAAAAAGGATAAACTTGTAAGATACAGTTATCAATTGGTCAAAATGGAATTCAAAACTTCATCTCTGGTCATTACGTTTAGCCTATGGGAAACATGACTAAGTGAAAGCATCCTAAGAATGCTATGAAGCTGCTGTGTTTCGTACCTGCACACTGAGATCCAGTATTAAATAAGGGCACTGGAACACCGAGATCTGAATTCAACTGCCTAAGCGCCAAATCTGTGACTAAGGCTTCGTTCTATATACATCCAGTACTCGCGGCGAATCTTGTCATGTTCCATGGCCAAAGATTCACATAGCTGTACATTAAGAGAATTTAATATAGGTGTAATTAAAGCTTACCTATATATACTGTATGGACATAATTTATAGACCAAAGTAATAATTACATTTATACAGGTACATGGTAAAACTATAAATACTGTACTACCTGTACACTGTATTATAAATATACATTATATTCATTCACTAAAAAATTTACAGCAATGTTTCATCAAGTATTATTATTACTGTATTACAGTAAAGGCGCACATTTCACATATGACCAAAATACAGTGCAGTTCAAAAAATATATACTTTTCACTCAAGAATATTTAAATACTAATGGAAGCAAAGTTAAATGACTTTGGTGTTAACTGGACATGTTTAAGTTTGCTTTCATTAACATTTAAAACTTCTGACTGGAAGAGTTTGTGCAAATATTTGGGAACTCTAATGTTTTGGTAATGTATAAGAAGTAACAATAATAATAATTATATGATTTTTTAAATATGAAGTAAAAGCAATTAGTGTACCTGTTTCTTTAGTCATCAATATGCATATTTCAGTGTTACTGAAGGAAAATTTGAAAATCTCTGGTAAACCAAAGGTTAGGTTATCTTGAGATGATTTCAGGGCTTTTTAGTGTCCCCTCGACCAGGCCTCCACCCCCAGGAAGCAGCCCGTGACAGCTGACTAACACCCAGGTACCTATTTTACTGCTAGGTAACAGGGGCATAGGGTGAAAGAAACTCTGCCCAATGTTTCTCGCCGGTGCATGAAGATATATGACAAAGATTAAACTAAGTGCATAAACCTACTGTATTAATAACAAAATAACACACATGATCTTACTTCCTTTAGTACCTGGTCTAAGGCCTAAATCCCCAACATATAATGTTACTCAAAATGTGTGTAGATGTCGCTCTCCACTGGCACATAAACAAAGGTAAACAACTAAAACCAAATAAATGTTGTATATTATGTAACACGAAACAAACTTTCAGTTTTTTACATCAGACTTTAACTACCTAATGAAGCAACTTAGTGGAATGATTGATTCAGAAACTGGTACAAGACGTACCTTGGCACTGGTGTATAGCATCACATTGCCCCTAACAGATGCTTTCCCATTGTCAGGGACAGAATGTGTTTGGCTTAATGCAACCTACAACAAAAATTTGTCCTGGAATGTCTCTCTTTGTTTTTTCCTCATAAGGTTTGTAGTTCTTACCATTACTAGTGCTGTATTCCATGGCCCAAGATGTGGCAAATGCTCTCTGATGCTTAAGCTACATTAGTACACACAATCTATTATTAGATATTACGAGAAGATATTCTCTCTACTCCTAAAAGATACACATAACAAAGCACTATTTTGCCTTAAGTAAATACTCGTAACCCATCTTGTGTAAGTTTTGTGTTTTACTTACATCATAAAAATACACACAGTGTTTACCTTTTAGTATTCAAAGCTCATATAAGTTAAGGTAATAAACAAAAAGAATAAAGCACACCTCCTGAGTTTTCTTCAGTACATGCGGTCTTTCCGAGGCCTCTCGCTCCATCTTGTCTTCCATAAGGTCTATCATGAAGGCAAGAAGATGAGGTGAGCGTTGGCCAGCATCATACATTTGTTGGCACCACTGCTCCAGATTGCCAGTACTATTCATGCCACCATCACAGTGTTGGACAACCCTAACCAATGAAAATATAATAATATATTGTAAGGTGTACTCTTCCAAATTACCTCCAACTTGCCTCCACATAGGGTTGTAGTGAAGTGAGCAAGGCTGTCTTTCAATTAAACTCCATACATACGTGCATATTCACCGACAGATTTATTGAATGGGGGCCAACTTTCGGGTCTGTGAATGTAACAACTAGGGCAAATACCAAATATTAAAGAAAATAATTGCCCAAAAGAAAATCACCCTCCAACATCTAAGGTTTCCGTTACTAGCTAGCAACAAATAAATAGCCACTCATGCTAATACGGCAGATATTCTCTAACACTGGGCTTGTGGGGTATCATTAAATTGGGCTCAACAACCCGACCCTTGTTACGTCCTGACTGTTGCTTGAAAACCTACGTGACACTGTCACACAAACAAAATAACAATCACACTTAAATTAAAGTTTCTTATCTCTAATGTCTATCCGACAACCTCTGGCACCTGCTCCTGATAATCCTCTCCAGACTTCAGTTTTTCACTAATGCCAGAAGGAGCCAGAATTGGCCCCTTCCTGGGTTACTTCATTTGCCGTTCCTGTTTCCTGCAATTCCGTCACTGGAATTTGCCACCATCTGCTGGCAAATTACAAACCTAGTCTTGGAATATAGGTACAGTTACCTTGTGCCCTATACTTCAACTCATGTACCCCACTCCACACACACTCCCACAAAATACACAGCCATCCTCAGATCACTGTCACTGTCTGTTATTCAATATAGACCAGCCCTCACCTGACTGACCAGGGCATCAAGTACCTGTGCCCCAACTGCTGCTGCTTCAGTGGGCCAATCTTCACACGATCTCACTGGGCTCTAAACTCTTGGCCCCCAATTTCTGCTACACTAAACATAGACAGGTTCCCCACTACTGCCGTGCTATTACATAAATATCACTGCTACTCTAAAGGGGCTGTTCTCGTGTAACTACCCGGGGACTTAACCTCTGCTGCATATATACAACCCACCCTCCTGTTTAGATAGTATTTTTTGTAATTACCTTATGTGTGGATTATCATACATACATAGAAAATATACTGTAGTAGAATTTGGTGCTATTCACTGTATAGGCTGGAAAAAATAAAGCTAAATTTTTTTTAAATATTCCTAGGCCTAGTATAGCACATATGTACTATATTAGGCCTAGTAAAGTTAAGTTATATTTTTTTGGCAACATCAATACTGTACAAAAACTTTTCCAGTTTGTTCAAATTCAATAGTACCACTTTCTTCTTTCTAACTGCCTTTTATGTTAATATATGTACGATGGTCTTCATCATTACTATAAGAACTACCTTAATAGGAGGATGGACTGATATATAACACTGTCTCTCAATATAGGGCCAACCTCTTTGTTGCCCGGGACTGCTGCACTGCTCCCTTAACTTCATCAATGTACAGTCTGGTTCCTACAACTGTCTCATTGCCACAAATATCACTGTTACTCCAAAGGTTCAATTCTCACGTAACTGCCCAGGCCCCTAACCTCTTGTTGACCACCTCTTGTTGACAAGGACCACCGCACTGCTCCCTTAACTTTCATATGTCTGATATTTATAACGGCATATCTATGGTACTTATAAAGGCATATGTATGATACTTATAAATGCATATGTATGGTACTTAAAACGGCACATGGATTATACTTATATGGGCATATATATGGCATTTACACGAGCATATGTATGGTACTTATAAGGCCATGTAAAAGGTACATATATTGGCATGTGTATGGTACTTATATGGGCATGTGTATGGTACTTATATGGTCCTCCTAATGTTTCCCAACGTCAAGAAAACGGTAAATTGTAAGTGTCCTATCCTAACCTACCAGAGGACCAAACTCAGAAAACGGGACAGTACGTCACTTTGTCGAGGAGCTTACATTTTCTGCCACACAGCCGTTTGCCAGCAAAGAATCGCAGCCCGGGCGAAATCGTCATTTTTCTCAAAACTCAAAATCAAAACCAGCCATAGAATCGTTTTGAAAATGGTACCATTGTGTTTACCACAGCAATTTACATTTCTTTCTGTAAAGGCTTTCTTTGCTAATTTTCAATATCAAGGCCCAAACACCCATATTTACCGAGATACAGCCATCTCAAATATCAGATATATCATCGTGTTTTCTCAACAAATTATTAGGGAAAATGAGTTGAAAAACATGTAATAATAATTATAAACAGCTAATTAAAAAATGGGTAATGAAAATAAAGTAATTTCTATATTATTCCTTTGCTTAGAGATTATTTTGAATGGTAAATTTATGGCCATTTGTATGGTACTTATAATGGCATATGTATTGCACTTATAATGGCAAATGTATGGTACTTATAATAGCATATGTATGGTAATTATATGGTGTATGTATGGTACATATAATAGCATATGTATGGTACTAATAAAGATAAAAGTTCGGTACTTTTAAACATATACGTATGGTACTTATATGGGTATATGTATGGTACTTATATGGGTATATATATGGTACTTAAATTGACATATGTATGGCACTTATGTAAGGTACATTTAAAGATATGTATGGTACTTATAAAGACATATGTCTGATATTTATAACGGCATATCTATGGTACTTATAAAGGCATATGTATGATACTTATAAATGCATATGTATGGTACTTAAAACGGCACATGGATTATACTTATATGGGCATATATATGGCATTTACACGAGCATATGTATGGTACTTATAAGGCCATGTAAAAGGTACATATATTGGCATGTGTATGGTACTTATATGGGCATGTGTATATGGTACTTATATGGTCCTCCTAATGTTTCCCAACGTCAAGAAAACGGTAAATTGTAAGTGTCCTATCCTAACCTACCAGAGGACCAAACTCAGAAAACGGGACAGTACGTCACTTTGTCGAGGAGCTTACATTTTCTGCCACACAGCCGTTTGCCAGGAAAGAATCGCAGCCCGGGCGAAATCGTCATTTTTCTCAAAACTCAAAATCAAAACCAGCCATAGAATCGTTTTGAAAATGGTACCATTGTGTTTACCACAGCAATTTACATTTCTTTCTGTAAAGGCTTTCTTTGCTAATTTTCAATATCAAGGCCCAAACACCCATATTTACCGAGATACAGCCATCTCAAATATCAGATATATCATCGTGTTTTCTCAACAAATTATTAGGGAAAATGAGTTGAAAAACATGTAATAATAATTATAAACAGCTAATTAAAAAATGGGTAATGAAAATAAAGTAATTTCTATATTATTCCTTTGCTTAGAGATTATTTTGAATGGTAAATTTATGGCCATTTGTATGGTACTTATAATGGCATATGTATTGCACTTATAATGCCAAATGTATGGTACTTATAATAGCATATGTATGATAATTATATGGTTTATGTATGGTACATATAATAGCATATGTATGGTACTAATAAAGATAAAAGTTCGGTACTTTTAAACATATACGTATGGTACTTATATGGGTATATGTATGGTACTTATATGGGTATATATATGGTACTTAAATTGACATATGTATGGCACTTATGTAAGGTACATTTAAAGATATGTATGGTACTTATAAAGACATATGTCTGATATTTATAACGGCATATCTATGGTACTTATAAAGGCATATGTATGATACTTATAAATGCATATGTATGGTACTTAAAACGGCACATGGATTATACTTATATGGGCATATATATGGCATTTACACGAGCATATGTATGGTACTTATAAGGCCATGTAAAAGGTACATATATTGGCATGTGTATGGTACTTATATGGGCATGTGTATGGTACTTATATGGTACTCCTAATGTTTCCTAACGTCAAGAAAACGGTAAATTGTAAGTGTCCTATCCTAACCTACCAGAGGACCAAACTCAGAAAACGGGACAGTACGTCACTTTGTCGAGGAGCTTACATTTTCTGCCACACAGCCGTTTGCCAGGAAAGAATCGCAGCCCGGGCGAAATCGTCATTTTTCTCAAAACTCAAAATCAAAACCAGCCATAGAATCGTTTTGAAAATGGTACCATTGTGTTTACCACAGCAATTTACATTTCTTTCTGTAAAGGCTTTCTTTGCTAATTTTCAATATCAAGGCCCAAACACCCATATTTACCGAGATACAGCCATCTCAAATATCAGATATATCATCGTGTTTTCTCAACAAATTATTAGGGAAAATGAGTTGAAAAACATGTAATAATAATTATAAACAGCTAATTAAAAAATGGGTAATGAAAATAAAGTAATTTCTATATTATTCCTTTGCTTAGAGATTATTTTGAATGGTAAATTTATGGCCATTTGTATGGTACTTATAATGGCATATGTATTGCACTTATAATGCCAAATGTATGGTACTTATAATAGCATATGTATGATAATTATATGGTTTATGTATGGTACATATAATAGCATATGTATGGTACTAATAAAGATAAAAGTTCGGTACTTTTAAACATATACGTATGGTACTTATATGGGTATATGTATGGTACTTATATGGGTATATATATGGTACTTAAATTGACATATGTATGGCACTTATGTAAGGTACATTTAAAGATATGTATGGTACTTATAAAGACATATGTCTGATATTTATAACGGCATATCTATGGTACTTATAAAGGCATATGTATGATACTTATAAATGCATATGTATGGTACTTAAAACGGCACATGGATTATACTTATATGGGCATATATATGGCATTTACACGAGCATATGTATGGTACTTATAAGGCCATGTAAAAGGTACATATATTGGCATGTGTATGGTACTTATATGGGCATGTGTATGGTACTTATATGGTACTCCTAATGTTTCCTAACGTCAAGAAAACGGTAAATTGTAAGTGTCCTATCCTAACCTACCAGAGGACCAAACTCAGAAAACGGGACAGTACGTCACTTTGTCGAGGAGCTTACATTTTCTGCCACACAGCCGTTTGC